GAGTTTTATGATGTTAACACAAATATATATTTGTTTTGTGCAAGAGGATAATGTTGTAATTTGTAAAATATGAATTTTTATTTTTTAAAAATAAAGTGGTATATCATAAGGGTAATTTAGTCATTTAATAAGTCCTTAACAGTTCATTGATAGAATTGGGACAAAGGGATAACTTTGTAATATTGTTTAGGGTTTTTACAAACATGTTATGGTTTTATGATAAAAAAATGATAGGACTGTGGGTTTTATGATTTAAACCCATAAATAAATTAGAAAGGTTGTTAATGCCTAATTATTTTGGAGGTCTAATAATCAAATCAAAATACCAAGAAAAACACGATGCCTAGTGTCTCCTAGCCTTTCAAAAATGTAAAGTGGAGAATTTGAGTCCCTTCAAGAACATTGTAGGCATTTTTTTTTTTAATTAGTACTCACACACCCTCTTTCAAAGAATTGTTTACATCTAAGAAGAATCGATATTAAGAACTAATGCTTCTTCTGGCATCAGGGCTCAAGTTTTTTCCAATTATGCTGACCACTTTGGGTGTAAAAAAGGTCGTTTCAGATTTTAATTTTTTTTCCCTATACTGTTCATTGCTACAATGTGGTTATTATACAAAAACATGTAAAAATATTAAATTGGTATTTCAACTTTATACCACTATTTATGAAGCATTTCGAAACTGTACAATATGAAGCCCTTTTGGGAGTACTATTATAAAAATAAGAATAAATGAATGGAGGAAAAAAGAGTGAATTATCATGAATTTAACTCAGGGTTAATTACAACGGCACCCCCTGAGGTTTGACATAATAACAGCTACATATAAGTTGAACTATTTTTGAATAATGACACCCCCTCAAGTTTAATAAAGTTAACAAAGACATCCTAATGGTCCTTAGATATAGTGAATTGACATTACTACCCTTTGACACATTCAATTACCAATTTATCCAATACAATTGTTTTTTATTGACCAAAATACCCTAAATAAACCTATAGCCACCACACTCACCACGACTTGTTGACACCGACTGCTACCATTTCACAGCCCTACCATAGCCACCGCCCACTAGTCACCACCACCGCAACTACCGCCCTCCAATACTACCCACCCCTTTCTTTCTCTCTCTCCACCTACCACTGCAACCTCTGCCACCACAACCAAAACCAATTGATTGAACCCTTGAAAAACTTACTCAAATCCAGCCAATTGACATGAAAAACCAAAACCCAGCCAATTGAACCCAGGAAAAAACCCACAAAAAATCCAAATTGAACCCACCATTACCATTGCCGCTATGTTTGGTTTCCGTCAACGACTCTTGAGATTGCATCCAACTCTCACGAGTCAGCCATTGAAATCGGTTGACAAAACCTCAAGTTTCCAGTGGTTCGAGACGAACCGATGAAGCTTCTTCTCTTCAACAACGGTGGCGATCGAGACATCCTTACGCGTTGACGCTTCGGATCGGTGAGCTAATCGGCGATTTCCTAAGACAACTCGCCGTTGCGGACGTTGGCCGGTAAATTCCTCACCATCGCAGTTCTGCCGGAGAAGGAATATGGGTCTGTGTGCTGAAGAAAGATATCTCAAACAAGTCTCGACCACTCCCGGAGCTACAGTGCACCTTCCTTGAATTGATCAACCTCCTTCTCTAACCTATAACACTTTAGGGGCATCTTCTTCACCAAACAAAACTTCGATTTCACCTAGGGTTTGTGGAATTTTATGAAACAAGTGGTATTGATTTGATCTTCACCAGACGGTGGAGCTTAGGGTTTTTGCAGTGGTGACGAAGACCCACCCTTCTTGTTCAACGACGACAACGAGCCCAAAGACCCACCACCAATAATTAAATTACGAATGACGAAGACCACTTCTATGATTTATGAGTAGCAATCGTGAATCCATGTTATAGTTCTAGCACCACAATTTTTACAGCATCTGCTTGTGGCCGCAATTTTGACTGCTAGAGAGATAGATTGGGTTAAAGATGGAGAGGAGGAATAGATGTTTGTGGTTCAAGGAATCAATGTGCAGGAGAGGACGAGATGACAGAACATAGTTGTGAAGTAAGAAATTTTGATAAAGCTTGCTGTTGGTGGGTTTATATGCTTACAATATATATATATATATATATATATATATATATATATATATGATCGATTTTCTATGTTGGTTTCTTTGGTTATGTACTCTGTGTATATTGTATGCCTATATATATCAAATTTCTTTGGGTCTTGCAATAATAGGTTTTTAAATTTTGGGTTGTAATAATGGATTTCTTTGTGGTTATGGACTGGTGGTGGCTGCAATGGGTGGTAATGGTGGCGATACGGCTGCTCTCTTTTCCCCTCGACTCTCCCAATAGTGTATATAGTGTATATATATAAGGGCAAGTTTGACTTTTCATCAGTTATGATATTTCAATAAAAATAAATTAAATATTGAAGGGTAATCTCGTCTTTTTTTAACGTTTTAAGGGCTTGTTTGTATCAAAATTATCAAAGGGGGTCTCTCTGTCCAAAAAACAGTTAAGTTATATATGGTTGTCAATACATCAAATCTCAGAGGGTGTCGTTGTAATTAACCCTTTAACTTAAATTGTAGGGGAAAAAAATTATATGGGTGGTCCAGGGAATAAAGGGTCTTTTGGGACAAGTAATTAATTTGAACCTTCTCACCATGAGCTTTTAATATGTGAGGTTGGTTTGTTATTCCATTTTACAAACCAACCAATTAGGGACTTGTTTAGTTAGTGAAAACATTTTGTATTTATGTTTTCATCTGACACGTAAACAACATTTTTGCTGTGAGGTGTGTCCAATGCATGTTTGGTAGCATAAAACTTGTTGTAAGATTTTTTAAAGTAAAAATATGAAAACATGTTTGATAAAAAGTTTGAAAATTAAAAGGTGTTTGAAAATTAAAAGGTTATTCCATAATTTTTAATATATATATATATATATATATATATATATTGGTACTTTTCATTGCTACAGTGTTGTTAGTGTGCAGATTAATGTAAAAATATCATATTGATGTTTTGACTTTAGAGTACTATTTATGAAGCATATCAGAATTATACAAAATAAGTCATTATTTACCAAACATATTGTAGCCCAAAATAATCCCGCCCTAAAAAAAAAAAAAAAAAAAAAAAAATTTATTATTCACAGTGTTATTACCAACACTGTGCATCTTGAAGTATCAGATTTTGATTTTATGCATCTACTAATCTAACAATTAACACTTCTTGCCTTTTAAAAAAAACCACACACATACACAAAGTAATAGTAAAAAAAAATAAGTAGTTACCGGATAGAGTGAGTAAGTTTATCATGAAAGTGATTATTAAATAACTAGAAAAACTGCTAATTGGGAAAGCTTGTCAGATATATAATATGTGAGGTTTGTTTGTAATTGCATTGTACAAACCAACCAATTAGGGGCATGTTTAGTCCGTGAAAATGTTTTGTATTTTTGTTTTCATCTAACATAAAAACAACGCTTTTATTGTGAGGTGTGTTCAATGCATGTTTGGTAGTATAAAAATTTTTGCAAGATTTTTTAAAGTAAAAATATGAAAATATGGTTGATAAAAAAAGTTTGAAAATTACCATTGTTTAAAAAGGTCATTTCATAATTATTAATATATATATTATATTGGTGTTTCGAGACTATTATTTATGAAGCATATCCAGATTGTACAAAACAAATCATTATTTACCCAACATATTGTAGCCCAAAATAATGCTACAGTATCTCGCCCCCCAAAAAAAAATTTATTATCAATGGATGAGTGCATTCTATGGATCTTGGAGTGCCGGATTTTGACTATATGCATTTATTATTCTTGTCTTAAAAAAAAAAAAAAAACATACACATACACACAAATAATAATAATAATAATAATAATAATGATGATGATGATAATAATAATAAAAAATTTGTTACCGACTATTAGATAACTAGAAAAACTGATAATTAGGAAAGGCTTTAAGCTTATGAGATAACTAATCTTTAATCAACAACTATCATGCACCACCGTAAAAGTTGAAAAATATCTTTTGAGGTTCCAATGGAATATTCTAATATTCTATTTTCACTTTTAGAGGGTTCCCCTTTGATGATGTACGTTTACACGTTAGATTAAAATATTATTATTATTATTATTTTTTTTGACATTTGCTGTTCAAAGAAATTAAAATATCAATTTTACCCTTGTAAAAGGCATTTAATAAAATTGTCCTACTTCATGAATCTAAGTAAAATTCCATCCATATTCATCAAAATAATAATTCTACACAGTGTTGGATTAAAAATATAATTCTTCAAACTGGTCGCCGTCATTTTTGTTTTGTATTTTTTTTTAATAAAATTAATAAAAATCGAAAAACAAGAGACAAACCCATATTTGACAAACATTTGTCATGTTTTTCACCGTACTACACTTGAAAAAAAAAAAAAAGAATTCTCAAATCAAAAACAAATATAATGTAAAATACATATTCTTTTACAATTATTCAAATAGTCTTTTATTTTTTAACTCTTAAACATTTTATAAAACAAATTTAGTTATTGAATTTATTTCTATTTTTAAAGAAATTGCAGCATAACAAATACTAGTATATTACAGAGTATTACCGTCCACAAGACTCCTAAAAGACTATTTTTGTATTTGACCTCCCTCACAATGGAACAGCCACACATTAATTTAATAAAAAATTAAAAAAAAAACCAGAAATAATTAAAAAACGAGCAAAAAAAAAAAAAATTACAGCAAAACAAAATATTATTACCTTAATATGAAACACAAGTCCGAAAAGTGAGAAATTAACAGCACAACAAAAAAAACTAACAACAAAAACAATTGACAACGCGCAATTTTAGTGTAATTTTGCATCAAATTAAACGCTAATTACTTTCATTGGAGTACTTAATAGGTAGACAAATTTCGCAAAAAGACGCAAAAGCTCTCTCTCTCTCTCTCTCTCTCTCTCTCTCTCCTCTCTTGCTCAACATAAACCCAACCAGAAGCGCTTGGCTCACTTCACGTCTCTCTCTCTCTCTCTCTCTCTCACACACAAAGAGACTACTGTGGTTCACGGTCTGGTATGTGTCTCGTGATCATCCAAGTTTTCTACTCATCTTTTTCATTTTCGTTCTCTCTCTCTGCTCTTCTCGTGTAGAAATCATCTGAAACCCATCTCCCCATATCATCATCTTTACATGGGTATCACGAGATTCGTCTCACAGAGCTTCCTCTGTCTACACCATCTATAGTTTTTCACTCTGTTTTCTCCATATATATACTTCTAATTTTCAAAAGTTAATGCTAATATTGCTCCAACCCAACTCAATCCGTGATTGTGGTTGAGAAATTTCTCGACTTCTCGTGCCCTTTCTGCTTCTTGATTCGTCGATAAATCACAGGAACTGCAAAACCCATCCAGATTCAGAGAACAGAGAGAGTTCGTGTGTGAGAAATGGCTACTCGGAACTTGGAGAAAATGGCTTCAATCGATGCGCAGTTGAGGCTATTGGCACCTCGGAAAGTGTCTGAAGATGACAAGTTGGTTGAGTATGATGCTCTGCTGTTGGATCGGTTTCTCGATATTCTTCAGGACTTGCATGGGGAGGATATCAGAGAAACGGTAATGGGTTTGAATTTTTTTTTTTCCCCCTAAATGACAAATGGGTTTGAATTTTGCCTTCACTGTTTTAAGTATTTGTTGTTGAAGTAGTTCTACCATTAGTTTCTCAATATTAATTGAATGAAATTTATTAAAAACACATTTATGTGTGTGTCTAGAAGTATATTTACTTTTGTATATCTTGCCTAGGATTCTATGTTTTAGTTCAAGTAGAATGACCTTCTGATACTTCTGAGAAACTTGCATCAATAAGTAGTTCCAAGTAAAAAAAAAAAAAAAAAAAAAAATGTTACATGCTTCTTCCCTTTTGATTTGTTATTGTTTTTGTTTAAGAAAAACCCCTCTCTGCAGCAGTATTGAAGTTGAGGTTGGTTTTAATTCTTTGTAGAGTGAATAATAGTTGTTACAATTTACTTTATGAAGCTTTAAGCATAATTTTTTTGCTTTTATGGTATGAAATGAACTATAGAATGATGAGATAGGAATTGGAGGCAATAGTAAGAGATATTTTTGGGAATATAAGGAGTAAATGACTTAGTCAAATTCTGTTACAATTTGGTAGGTTCAAGACTGTTATGAACTTTCAGCTGAGTATGAAGGGAAGAATGAACCACAGAAATTGGAGGAGCTTGGGAATGTGCTGACAAGTTTGGATGCTGGGGATTCTATTGTAGTTGCCAAGTCTTTTTCCCACATGCTTAACTTGGCCAACTTGGCTGAGGAGGTTCAAATAGCTTTTCGACGGAGGATTAAGTTAAAGAAGGGTGATTTTGCTGATGAGGCGTCTGCAACGACCGAGTCGGATATTGAAGAGACCATCAAGAGGCTTGTGGTGCAATTGAAGAAGTCCCCGGAAGAAGTTTTCGATGCTTTGAAAAACCAAACCGTAGATTTGGTCTTTACAGCACATCCTACTCAATCTGTCCGTAGATCTTTGCTTCAAAAGCATGGGAGGTTTGTTCTTCTGCAATTTGCAATATACTAGTTTGCAGCCCTCTGATTTGCATATTTGAATTTTTAGATGCTCAATGACACTTGCAATTCATTATTAAGTATTAGCCCACTTCATGATGCCATTTGGGCAAGTAGATGGTAGTTGTTTTTCATTTCCTGTGTTTGTCTTGATATTTAGTATTGATATTTAGTGCTTCCTCTTTTATATTTCAGGATCCGAAACTGTTTGGCCCAGTTGTATGCAAAAGACATCACTCCTGATGATAAGCATGAGCTTGATGAAGCTCTACAAAGAGAGGTGTGTAGTTTCAGATATTGGGGTCAATTTCTCTGCTGTTCTGTACATAGGATGGCATAGTTCAATAGATTATTATTATTATTATTTATAATCATGGCTGTCTTCCATATTTTCCAGTTGAACAGCTCTGTACCACTATAAAATCTTCTAACAATTTTTAAGATGTCCTTTTGCTGACGAGGATAACACTCTTTTAACATTAGTGAGGGGCACCTGGGAAATCCATTTCACCTTTGGCTGAAAATTTTTCTACTCCCATTTATGTAAGAGTAGATATTCTATTATTTGTAATCCTTGAATGGCTTCATGTTAGAGTTCAAAATAAATATATGAACAGCACATGTGTGGTGAAAGTGTTGTGAAATGGGAATGATGCAATTTAGTATTCAGGATAAGTCATAATATGCTATGCGCAACTTTGGATGTAACTGTAGTAAATTTGCACATTCATCGTTTACGTTTGGCATCTGACAATTGTTTGAAACTGGTTCTTCTCAGCTGGGAGAATTTGGGAGACTTTGTTAGCACCTCATCTTTCGTAAATTAACTTAGAACTCTCTCTCTCTCTCACACACACACAAATTAGTAGTGTATTTGAACTGGTGGAACTGTTAAGTTTCCCATGGTGGGCATCGGATGACTGTGTTAGTAAGAAACTAGATTAAAATAAAAGGATTCAGGTATCTGTGCTTTGAGATTTATTTATTCTTAAAACCATCTGATATAATATGTAAAAATTTATTTTCCATCAAAATAAAGACAAAACCATTTGCTTTGCCATACTTTCTCACAATAACCAAACCAGTCTCGTATTCTGATGTTTCATAAACTTCATCATATTTCTGCTTAAAACTTTATTCTGAGGAATGCATCAAATGTATTTTCATCAGGCATTATGGAATTAAATCTGGAAAATTCCTTGCGTAAGTGAGAGTAACTTTATATTCCTTTTGTTTTCCTTCTTTTTGGCCTTGTGTTTGTAACCAAATTATCTTTCCTAACATTAGATACAAGCTGCATTTCGTACGGATGAAATCAGGAGGACCCCTCCAACTCCACAAGATGAGATGAGGGCAGGAATGAGCTACTTCCATGAGACAATCTGGAAAGGAGTCCCAAAATTTTTGCGCCGTGTTGACACAGCTTTGAAGAATGTAGGAATAAATGAGCGTGTTCCTTACAACGCCCCTCTTATTCAATTCTCTTCTTGGATGGGTGGAGATCGTGATGGTACAGTCCTTCACAACCTATTTCTTCACGAACATCTATTTTTAGATAGATATAAAACTGTTACTTGTCAAAAATGCAAAAAAAAATAGGGAAGCACCAATGTAAGTGCAATTTTCATAATTGTGGAACAAATGGAGGGTACGAGATGGTTAGAATTTCTTGTTTAAAGGCTCAAATATCTCATACTACAAGGATATTTCTATGTGTTTGTGATACCATTGTTCAATGTAACACAAAGTATGGGCATGGGATGTGTTTTACTGTTGGATACATGCTCGACAAGTGTGTCTGATGAAGGAAGACAGGAAAATACATGTTGGTCACTCTGGGTTCTTTCAGACATAAACTCTTAGTTACTTCATTACAATACTGTTTATTTTAATATAGAATGTTACCTAGGCCTACAGCGACTAATTAAGATTTTTTTTTTCCTTTTATCACTCTTTCTTGTTGATGATTTTGCACATGTAATATTTAAATCATCACTCCCACTGTAGCAAACAGCTAATCACCCTTGGAAGCATTGCTTCCAAACATCTTTCCCATTGGCAGTCTTAAGATCCATTTGATGTGTTAAAATTGTTAACTGTTAAAAGAGTTTGCAACTTGAGTATGTATTATGCTCTAATAAATCCATCTCATATGCAACAAACTCCTCTCCATGAGTGGGGCAAACATGTGCATGCATTACAACTATGAGGTATGCTACGAGATTCAAGCCCGTGATTTTACCCACCCTAATACCATGTTAAACAATCAACTACTCGAATTGTTTAATCTATTTGGGAGAGTGTAATGTATTTACTTATATTTAGATGTTGACTGCAGGAAATCCGAGGGTAACTCCTGAAGTTACTAGGGATGTATGCTTATTGGCCCGAATGATGGCTGCTAATTTGTACTTTTCCCAGATAGAAGATCTCATGTTCGAGGTATCAAAACCACTACTCCTGCTCTATAACTTGCCTTTTTTCCTTTTTTGTCCATGGAACATTAACGATTAACGTACTGCTTGGTGGATTTCTCAAACCCCTCTGATCACTTCTCTCTTTCTGTGCTTTCTTTGCAGATGTCAATGTGGCGTTGCAGTGATGAACTTCGTGCTCGTGCAGATGAACTTCATCGGTCCTCAAAGAGAGACGCAAAGCACTATATTGGTATGCAATCATGGTTCTTAATTTTGGTTTTTACTTGCACATTTTGGAACTTTTGACAATCTAAATGAAAATATGAAATTTCTTTTCATGCTTCTGCAAAAAAGTCATTATTGGTTTGAAATTTTTGAGTAGTAAACTGTTGGTTTTAAAATGTCAATGTCCTCAACTTCATCAAAATTAAAATTTCCATAGACTCACGTGTCTATTCTATACAATTCCCCAATTGATTTATTCTTTTGTTTCTTGTTTTAGATATTACCTTTTTTTAAGGTATTGCTTTATAAGAATTTATCATTGGGCAAATTAGTCTCATATTTTTCATTATTTTTGTTGACATATTGTTCTCACTAATATTCCGCTGGTGTAGAATTTTGGAAACAGATCCCTCCAAATGAGCCCTATCGTGTTATTCTTGCTGATGTGAGGGATAAGCTGTATCATACGCGTGAACGTTCTCGACAGTTATTGGCCAATGGGAACTCTGATATTCCCGAGGAGGCGTCTTTCACTAATGTTGATCAGGTCTATCCATCTGAGAGACTTTTACTTTTTCTCTTGCAGATTATGACTTGAAAATTTAATTGTTTACTTTAATCTAGTACTTCCAATAACAAATAAAATCTTTGTTCCCCTCTCTTCAGATTTTTCTCTTTATGGCAAAAATAATGATATGTGATAGGTATTTTTGTGATGATTTGGTGGACTGTTTTTGTATCCTTGCCTAACTATGTCTGTAGGCATGCATCTAGTATCTTCTCATATAAATGTGATCAGATGGTGGTTATGCATGTTTTGGTAGTCACTTAGTAAATTAGGCTTGCATCACCATGTCTAGTTTTGCATGCAGCGGTTCCCCATAACATGTATTTTACATGAAACTATTAAAGATATTTCGTCTTATTGAGAACTTTACTATTATGTATTTAAAAGAGAAAGGAAAAGACGATGTATTCACAAGAATCACAACCTTGTCCTGACTAAAGTGAAAGATATCCCTACATGAATTCGCATAGAAATGGCCATTGCCTAGTCTTGGTCCCCCTACTGCATGGTATTGGGAGGGGCAAACTGGATACAAATCTAACATTTGGTACTATTTGTACGAAATGGGTATTTTCAGATTGAACTTTTTTTTCTTCCTTTTTCATGCTTGCTACTCAGACCATTTTACTATTGAACCAAACAATATTAAAATGAAATAGATATACTGATTGATTAATTACAATGAGAAGAAAATCAGGTATAATACAATTTCTTTCTTTTTTATTGATTATTTTAATTTTTCCTCTCTAGTTCCTGGAGCCTCTCGAGCTCTGTTACAGATCACTTTGCTCTTGTGGTGATCGGTCTATTGCTGATGGAAGCCTTCTTGATTTCTTACGCCAAGTTTCCACATTTGGGCTCTCACTTGTAAGACTTGATATCCGGCAAGAATCAGACAGGCATACTGATGTCATAGATGCTATCACAAGGCACCTGGAAATTGGGTCCTACCGGGAATGGTCAGAAGAACGCAGACAGCAATGGCTCTTAGCTGAACTCAGTGGCAAGCGACCTTTGTTTGGCCCCGATCTTCCCAAAACTGAAGAAATTGCTGATGTTTTGGAGACTTTCCATGTCATTTCTGAACTCCCTTCAGATAACTTTGGTGCCTACATAATCTCAATGGCCACTTCCCCTTCTGATGTTCTTGCTGTTGAGCTTTTACAACGTGAGTGCCATGTCAAGAAGCCACTGAGGGTTGTTCCATTGTTTGAAAAACTTGCTGATCTCGATGCTGCACCGGCTGCTGTTGCTCGTTTATTTTCAATAGATTGGTACCGAAACCGGATTGATGGAAAGCAAGAAGTCATGATTGGGTACTCAGATTCAGGAAAGGATGCTGGCCGTTTTTCTGCTGCTTGGCAGTTATACAAGGCTCAAGAGGAGCTTGTAAAGGTGGCAAAACAATATGGGGTGAAACTTACAATGTTTCATGGCAGAGGGGGGACAGTTGGAAGAGGAGGAGGTCCCACCCATCTTGCTATATTGTCCCAGCCTCCTGACACAATCCATGGGTCTTTCCGTGTGACGGTTCAAGGTGAAGTTATTGAACAGTCATTTGGGGAGGAGCACTTGTGTTTTAGAACTCTCCAGCGTTTCACAGCAGCTACCCTTGAGCATGGAATGCGTCCCCCTGTCTCACCCAAGCCAGAGTGGCGTGCACTCATGGACGAGATGGCAGTTGTTGCTACAGAGGAATATCGTTCTATAGTTTTCCAGGAACCCCGGTTTGTTGAATACTTCCGCCTAGTAAGTGTCTTTTGTCTTTTTGTCCTCCGGTTACGCTCAAACCCACATTATAAAAAAAATAATCCTAATTTACAATATGTTATGAATTGCAAGTGATGCATTCAATAGATTCATGCAGGTTTATTTGCAACTTTCAGTTAAATAATTTTTGAATAGCATCAGCATATTTGAAGAATGATGGCTTTTGTTTCTCTTTTGCTAATATGAATTTGGTACCTCTTCGACATTTATCTTAGTTCTATCAATCCTGAATATTCTTGAGGAGATCTTCCTAGAGTTTATTTTTTCCGCTAAGTAGCTAATGATTATAATAGAATAAATGTGGTCCTTTTTTTCTGTCCTTTTAATATACGTCACTTACCTCATTGACGTTTTAGGCTTTTACTCAGATATTCTAGAGGATCTTGCTAGATTTTGTTATTGCAACTAAGAAACTATGGGATTATAATAAAATATATGTGATTCTTTTTTTCTTTTTTGTCCAATACTGCAGGCAACTCCAGAGTTAGAGTATGGTCGTATGAACATTGGGAGTCGTCCATCAAAACGGAAGCCAAGTGGTGGGATTGAATCACTTCGTGCAATCCCATGGATCTTTGCATGGACTCAGACAAGGTTTCATCTCCCCGTCTGGCTTGGGTTTGGGGCTGCATTTAAACATATTATTGAGAAGGATATAAGAAATCTTCAAATGCTTAAGGAGATGTACAGTGAGTGGCCTTTTTTCAGGGTGACAATTGACTTGCTTGAGATGGTCTTTGCCAAGGGAGACCCAGGAATTGCCGCTTTGTATGACAAGCTCCTAGTATCGGACGAATTGTGGCCATTTGGACAGCGCTTAAGGACCAATTACGAAGAAACTAAGAGCCTTCTCCTCCAGGTAACAAAAAAAAAAAAAAAAAAATTAGCCTTCTCCTCCAGGTAACAAAAAAAAAAAACTGTTTAACTAATGTAAATAGGGGTCATTAATTGGTACTATGGTAAAAGCTTGGGTTGACGTGTGTGAGGATGTGGGTTCGAGTGTTTTGTGCGGTCAATTTTGTGAAATGTAATATCAGAAGTTAGGTTTGTCTTTCAGTCTTTCCGTCCCAGCACATTGCTAGGTGCCAGAGTAATGCGAGTGAAGAAAATAGATTATATAGGACAACTCAATCTAACATCCATGAAGTTTGTTCTTTCTTTTCATTACCTATCATCACCAGGTCTGGGAAAAATTTATGTCTATTTACTTCGTGTAGAACTCAAGAACATGCAAAATACAGTTAAAAGTGATGCCCACTTCTGACACCATATTTGATGATCTAAATTGTTGATAAAAGCATAAAATAAAAATCTGAATGTGAGAAAACCAGGATTTAGAGTGGTAAGGCTGGTGAAAGGATCCATTTCGGAGTTTAATTTGGTTTCCTCGGTGAAACTTCTCTACAGCTTTTCATTTAAATGAAATCAAGCAACAGGTTTACTGGAAGAAGTTCTGGAAACTCATTCTTCTTTTTACCTGTTTATCTGTAGATTGCTGGTCACAAGGATCTCCTTGAAGGAGACCCCTACCTGAAGCAGAGACTTCGTCTCCGTGATTCATACATCACCACCCTTAATGTCTGCCAAGCCTGTACACTGAAACGGATACGTGACCCAAGCTACGATGTGAAGGTGAGGCCACATCTGTCGAAGGAGATAATGGAATCTAGCAAACCTGCTGCAGAGCTCGTGAAGCTTAATCCCAAGAGCGAGTATGCTCCTGGGCTGGAGGACACCCTCATATTGACTATGAAGGGAATTGCTGCAGGAATGCAGAACACTGGTTAAGGCCTGGTTCCACCTCGTGAGTTGCCACAGTAGCCATGTCTGTCAATTATCCGAATATAGTGTGAGAAAGACTTGTCTTTTTATCAGAGATGTGAACGAACTTCCAATACTGCCTGCTAAGATCTGCTTTCGTACAATAAATTTTGTTTGTGCCAATCTAAAATTTTCTACTGTTTTCTGTGTTATATGCAAAATCATCTTATCTTATCCCATATTCCTGAAGCATTGATTGTGTGAAACAACTTTCTGGATTCTAGGTCAGCGCATGTGCCTTCTTTCAAGGGCTTGAGACAGGTTTTTCTTTGTGATGGAGGTAGAACTTGATATTGTTCTGGATTTTGAAGCCAGTATCAAACTTCAGTGGTTGTGGAATTTCATCAAACAGTTGGTGAAAACTAGGGTTTCACGTAGTCTGTCCATTTCAATTATTACTGCACTCGTCTTCCATTCACAAACCTTCTAAGCCTGCAAACCACACACACAGCTTGTCAAGTCACTTTGGAAAAAAATTTGTAAACCAATTCACCCCCTACCCCTTGGTTTTCATCAATTGGTATCAAAGAATCTCTACTGTGTTGGTTGAGAACAGGACTATTTGGTTCAGAATCATTTCTTTTTTCTTTCAATTAACAGAGAAAAAAACATAAACGTTGCATTTGGAAGATTGACTCTTTCAAAAAAAAAATATAATTACAAGGGTTCAAAAAAATTAATTTGTAACCTTAGCCCCCTTTCTTAAATTAAATCGTTCAAATTTTTTTTTTTTTTTTTAAAAAATAAATAAATAAAAAAATTCAGGTTTCTAATTGGACCTAGACCTCTATCAACAGATCCAAATATATACACTAGTTTGAGGGTTGCAAACAAACATTTGTAAATAAAACCATTTAATTTAGTAATCTATATGAGAAAAGTCAATTTTTTTTTTCGGAAAGTAAGATTTTATAAAGCAAACCAACTGTACAAAGGCAAGCCCACGAAGCATGGGCAACCTAATGTTACAAACCATAGAAGCAGAAAAACATAGAACACAGGGCAAAGCCCAACACTACAAAGACGAAATCCAATGGTAAATTAGAGTAATCTTGTGTACGACCTAACAAACATCCGGTTAGAGAAGGATTAGAGCAAAGCAAAGTGAAGCCCTAAAATGGGAGGTCTGGCGGCTCCGGCGGTGGGCTAATAAAGGACGGAAGATCCCAGTCACGCTTCAGTCGTCTTGCTATGTTCGAGTCCTTCACAGAGGTGGATAAAAGTTTCTGTCTGATCATGTTTGTGATTTGCCTGAAGATCATCATTTGCGAACATTTCTTGGATCTGAAGATCTTGTTGTTGCGTTCTTGCCAGATACGGTTGATGGAGGTGGACAACATGAGCTTATTCACTGAGTTCTTGAGGTTCTTACTCGCCCAACGCCTCAATGCCCATCGAGTGAACCCATTCCAAGAAGAAGGTATAGCATGAAATCGACACTTAAGTTGAAGAGAGATCCAAATTGGCCTCGTAAAAGAACAAGCAAAAAAGAGGTGATTATGCGATTCTTCTACCATATTGCACAAGCTACATACTCTGGATCCCTAGAATCCCCTCATACTGCTTCTACCAAGAGTTGGGAGTCTGTTTTGCACGGCAAGCCAAAGTGAGAATTTACAACGCGGGACAGAAAGGGAGCTCCACACTAGGTGTTGCCATGGTTTGAGGCTGCGCTGTGATTTAATCCATCCAATAGTGTGGCTGAGTGAGAATGATCCCGAAGGCGACGGCAACCAAATCGCAGAGTCTGCAGAATTGGACGGCGGCGCAATTAAGGTAATTTCCGGGAATTGGGTAATAAGAGAGTTAGGGAATTGCCACTCCCCTCCAAAGCAGAATGAAGCCAATTTTTGAAAAGGATAAATAGGAGATGCAGCGATGGTGTCCCTGCTAACTCTCCCAGAAAGAGGTCCCCCCTGAAGCCAATTGTCTTCCCAAAAAAACATGTGGGAGCCATTCCCTACCTTCCACTTGTGTCTTCACCCACTCAGCCCTCTCAGGTATAGAATCTTCTTCTAATTACTAGTGCAAGCCTGTGGGATACCGATTGTCCAAAAACATCAATCTCTAATCAATTGTGTCTTCACCCACTCAGCCCATAGATTAGTCCTACAATTGGAGATGAGAGTTCGGATGTGTCTGAGGGCCGCTGCCGTATTGGCATCGCCCAAGTCTCTGAATCCCTATCCCCCACACTCTTTAGGTTGACAACAGGCAGCCCAGTTAACCTTAGCCCTGGTGTGCTTGAACTCATTTCCAGACCATAGGAAGTTCCTTATAAGCTTTTTGACCTCAGTGAGCACCGCATAAGATAGAAAAGTGGAAGACCAGTGATTGATTCTTTGTGCAATTCTCTCCACCAGTCCCCTACAATCATCAGCTTTGAGTCTAGTTGAGAGTAAGGGAACTCCCAAGTATTTCATAGGGAGTGAGCCACATTCAAACCCAAGTAGAGATTTGATGTCAATTGTGAGGAATGTGTCTACTCCTGAGACAAAAAATAAGCTCTTTGTGTTGTTAATGCAGAGCCCTGAAAGAGTAGAGAAATGGTCAAGGGCCCTCTTAATAGTAGAGATAGAGGCTAAGTTCCCATAAGAGAAAATCATGAGGTCATCTGCGAATATGAGATGAGAAATGGCCAGTGATTTGCATCTTGAGTGGTATTTGAAGTTGGGGATTTCTGCGATGAACCTCTTGATGATTGAAGTAAAGACCTCCATTACAATTACAAATAAAAGTGGTGAGGCAGGATCACCTTGTCTGAGACCTTTAACCCCTTTGAAATGCCCATGGAACTCCCCATTCAGTGAGACTGTGAAGGAACGGGAAGTGATGCAGGCTTGTAACCACCCAATGAAAGATTGAGGAAAACCAAAAAGGAGCAAGGTGTTCAACATAAAGCTCCACCCAACAGAGTCAAATGCTTTCCTCATATCCACCTTCATAGCACATCGAGGTGGTGACAATGGCTTGTGATAACCCTGCATTAGTTCTTGAGCAAGTAGCACGCTGTCCCCAATGTGTCTTCTCCTCACAAAAGCATTCTGGCAAGGGTCAATAATGGAGGGGAGAACAAGCTTCAGCTTGTTGGCCAAAAGTTTGGTTATACACTTATAGATTGTATTACAGCAGGAGATAGACCGAAACTCATTAAGGGTTGTAGGATTAGGAACCTTAGGGACCAATGCAATGTAGGAGTTATTTACCTCCCCAAGCAACTTTCCAGTGATAAAGAAGTCCTTAATGGCATAAGTCACATCTCTACCCACAATAGGCCCAGCCCTATGAAAGAAGTGAGCGTTGAAGCCATCGGGGCCTGGGGACTTATCTTTGTTAAGGGATAGGAAACATGACTTGAATCTCCTCTTCAGTAGGAATAACATTTAGCATAGGAAAAAAAGAAGATGGTACTCTTTTGGTGATAAAAGGGTGGAGTGCTTCCACACCAGGATAGTTAGGAGGAGAGCAGCCAAGCAAGGTGTGAAAGTATGCCACAACCTCAGCCCTCACAAGGCTCTCATTATCGATAGATTCACCAGTGGATGATGTAAGGCAGGTAATTTTTCTTCCATTAAGCTCTCATTGGTACAACTGCTTTCATTTGCTTCTCTAATGCTTCGTTTAGTTGGAGGGGTGGAAAAATGGATGGAAGAGTTAGAGGGATGGATGGACGAGGAATCCTAGGGAACGGAAGATGTCTCCTCCATTTTTTGTTTGGTTGAATGGAATGGATAGTAGAAAAGATAGATGGGGTGATACTCTTTTTATATTTTTTTACCAATATATCCTCACTGTATAAAATAATAAAAAGTAGATATCTATTTGAATTTTTTGAAAAGGTTAAAATTGAAAATTGCATATTGTTGGTAGTTATTCATTTTCTCTCTCATCCCTTCCCCCTAAAATTGGGCGGATAGGAAAACATGAAGAAAGGAGGGATGAAGTATCCTCCTTGCTTCCTCCCTCTCTTTCCTTTCATCTAACTAAACACGAAAAACCTCATCCATCCCTCCAACCAAGTTGTTGATGCTGTGGACCAGCAAGGCATACAATTTGTGGAGTGTAAGGAGTTACCTAACTTAATGCAATCCAAAAAAATTCTCAAATCGTGTTGGGTACGAAATTTAATACCTTCAAAATAAATATTAATAAAAAAAGAAGCAAATTAATTAAAAATGTAAATAAATAAATAAATAAGAATTTATATACCATATTTTTAAAAAACGGGGTTGATGTTGAAATCAATGGTTTTCATCAACTTGAAGTAAACACGAATAGTTGGGAAGACTTCCAAAACGGGGTTGATGTCGAAATCAATGATTTTCATCAACGTGATGGCAGCACTGAAGTAATCATGAATCGTTGGGAAGGCTTCCAAGGCACAAGTGCCATGTTTGTCCCATTAATATTATTAGCACAGTGCAAAATTCATTAAAAAAATACAAAAGTTCACATTTATATGGCTGCGGACCATGACCATTATTTATGGAGGTGTCAAAAACCATTTAGATTGAAATTTTGCCTAATGTGAATTTGGCAAGATGTACTTATAGAATTGCAATAACGAATTTGGCAAGATGTACGTATAAAATTGCACTAACTTAACTGGTGGGCCATTGTATACGCAAGGTAAAATAATCAAAATTAATTGAATTTGTTTGTGGGTTTTTTTAGCCTTCAATCTTCACTCCTCTTGCAGTCACTCTCGCCCTGGGAGTGGTTTGTAATTTACAAATGACATCCTCTCCAATTTATAGCTCATCATTTCTACCTAGTAGAATTTCTTAAACAAATCTCTTGTAACTCTACAAAGCTCTCTTTTCTTTTAAGATTTTCCGTACACTAAAAATGTTTCAAACTCTCTATGCAATACTCCACAGTTCTCTATGCAATTTTGGAAGACTCTAAAAGTCCTCTGACCTCTCGCCAAAACCTTGAAAACGAAATTCTTGGTTGAATGGCAATTCAATGAAAAAATGGCTTGTTCCAGGGTATAAACGGGAATTGATCGATGGGTCTTTTTGATCACACAAGGGAAGACCATTAAAGCCTTGTATTACATTGATGTGGGGAGCTAGGAATTAGTGTGAACAATCAATCAATCGTATTATATAATTCGAAGACTACACCTAACACTTTCAGTAATTAAAATCATTGTTCTGTACTAATAAAACTTCAGACTTTTTATTTTTCTTGATGTTAATTTGTACTCTATTGATTAATTGCTATTTGAAGAATATTTCTGGATCTACTTTATAGCCAATGCAGGCTTATTTCTCTTGCAACTTTGAAACAATTGTGAAACAAATGATAAAAATAATAAGATTCTAAAGTCCTTCAGATTCTAGATTCTAAATTCCAGGTGCTGAAGTGATCACTAATGACTAATTCCTCCACCAAACAAAAATCTAACAATAGATCTTCTGTACTTATCTTTTGGAGACCAGCATCCATCCTTGATCTTCCCTTTCCCCTTCCTAATCCCAGTTTTATTAGTGACTATATACTTCTTTATAGTAGTGTCCTTCGTTGATGTTTGGCAAAGGTTGAGGTTAAAGTCGAGTCGATTGGGTGGGGGCATGTTAATTAGTCCGTCAAAAATTAATGAATAAGTTATTTTTATTAACTTTTAATATTCTTTTTTTAATAAATATTTTATGACAACCAAATACTTAAAAAATATTTTTTGAAAAATATTTTAACGGAGCCTTAATGAACTGTATTTTCATTTGTTGAAATGAAAAAGGAATGGGGTTGGTCAACATTGAAGTGGTTAAAGCAAATTATTGGGTAAGTACAATGATACCCTTGATGTTTCCCGAAAAATATCTTCGAAATAAACACCGAATCATGAGGTGGGATTGACTACGTCAGACTTTTAAGAAAAAGAAAATTTTTTGTTTGAACACCCCCCGTCTTTAGATATAAACCAAGACTCCATCTTTTAGAAAAATTTCTAAGTAATTTGGAGATTTTATAAGTCTATCACTTTCACTTTCACTTTCTCTCAACTTTGTAGGCTTGGAATTTTATCCAATAGACCCCAAAGATTTATACAAAATATTATCAAAACTATATAATAAAAGAAAATAAAAAAACCCCAAAAATTGTGAAAGAGAGTATCGATTGAATAACTATTGGAGAAAAAAACTCGTTACAAAGCCTAGAGGGAGTGTGAATCCCAGATCGATATTGTTGTGAGAATGCGTTCAGTTATTTAACTTTTTAAATTTGTGAGAACTTATATATATATATATATATATATATATATATATATATATATATATATATCCCAGATCGATTTTGTTGTGAGAATGTGTTCTGTTATTTAACTTTTTAAATTTGTGAGAACTTATATATATATATATATATATATATATATATATATATATATATTTGTGTGTATATATATATATATATATGTTAGATTTGTGTATTTGACCACCATATCTTCACACCATTGCCTTTCTCTATCCACGATCATTGAGCAGACTTTTATTATTTTATTTTTTCCTTCAATTTACGCGAAAAATTATAGAGGATGTTTATTCTCTGAATCATACCTTTTAAGGAGTATGACGTGGCCAAGTCACGTCACTATTCTGTGACTATTTCGGGGATAAGATTCGGTTGCTGTATCACTACTCGTAGAAAAATCATTACATGGTCCAGATCAACCACGAAGCGACACATAAACAAATATGTCAGCTTTATATCACTCGTAATAAGCTATTTGTTTAATGTTGCTTCGTGATTGACGGGGACCAATGGATTGGTCCCGAAACCATGTAATAATTTTTGAATGAGAAATATTTGTACATATTTTATTTGAGTTATATAATGCTTGATTACCAATATATGTGTGTGTGTGTGTGTGTGTGTGTGTGTGACATATGGAGAGTTTGTATTTCAACCATATATACTTTAACACGGACAAAGATTTCAACCATTATATATCAGATATTTAAAATTAATGAAGCACGGTAAGTACCAACCACACCCCAATAAAAGTAGCAGTTTTATTATATGTGAAGGCCTAAAGCACAGCATTCAATTAAATGTTGTAATCCATGGACACTTTAGAACTTACTACTAATACAACCGGTAATTTTGTACCACATGTGATCTAAAGAATGAAAATAGGAAAATCTCGATGATTTGCTGTATAATAAAGGACCACAGACACCCCAAAAACCAACTTCAAATCCTAGCGCCAAACTCAAATAAAACCAATCCACTTCAGGTTCATTGCCTTTGTCTCTTCCATTTTGAATCTTAGGGATTACATCATTCACACTGCAAGTGTTTGTGACAGGAGGTCCACAGAGGTTGTTTCCGATGAAGCTAGAAGTACTGAAGCTCTGGAGTTGAGTGCTGGATGAAATTTTTCCGGATAAGTAATTATATGACAAATTCAAGTAACTCAAAAATGTCATATTGGACATACTTGTCGGGATTTCACTAGAAAGTTGATTCCTTGATAAATCAAGAGACTCCAACTGTACCATATTACCAATGGTACCTGGAATCAAACTTGTCAAATGATTTCCCGATAAATTTAGCGATCGCAAGAACAAGAGACTTGTTACCTCCTCGGGTATTTGTCCTGATAAGATGTTACTTGAAAAGTCTATACTGGTTGCAAACATGAGAATGGTGTCGTATTGGATCTCTCTTCCTTTTGTTACTACAAATGCATTCTCCAACAGTCCAGTAAAATTGGATCGGATAATGAGACTACCATCATCATCAATTAAGTTCCCTTTCAGTGCCATGGCAGTGAATTTGTCGATACACCGCGGTATTGCTCCTGACAAATTGTTGTGTGCAAGATCCAAGATTTGAAGAGATGTGAGGTGACAAATTTCACGAGGAATTTTGCCATCAAATTTATTTGAACGAAGTCTAAGAACTATTAATTTTGAAAGCCTTTTCCCAATCCACAATGGTATTCTTCCAGCAAACTTATTCTCACCCAAGTCAATTGTCAATAAATTTGTGCAGTTTTGTAAAGATAAAGGTAGTTCTCCAGAGAGGCTATTATTGCGTAGGTGTAATGATTGTAAACTACTTAGAAATCCCATGGAGCTCGGAATGGTCCCAGTTAAATTGTTATTTTGTAAATTGATGAATTCTAACCACCGCCAATTCATCCAACATTCTGGAATATTTCCTGACAAAACATTTTCATCAAGTTGAAGAATTTCCAGTCGATGCGGATTGTCACTGGAGTGACACAGGAAGTTAGAAATATCTCCTGAAAATGAATTGTTGGAAAGATCTAGCATATTTACACTAGGAGAGACAATGGGCAATGGACCGCTAAATTTATTGGAGTTTAAGATAACCGAAGAGACAAGAAGATGAAATTTTGGAATGTTTGGGATCTGTCCATGGATTTGGTTGTGAGAAAGGTTTACATGATAGGCGTAGGAAGACAAGTTCCAAAACCAAGAGGAAATCTCGTCGGATATACCAGCGGAGGATAGTTCCAAGTATGAAATTTCTTTTTGGACTCAACTGCAAAGTCAATGAATTCAAATCTTTTAAATTCTGGCCCCACACGCAAAGAACTCAAATCTATTCTAATAAGTTGGAAGGGTGGGATCCAGTTTGGACTCAACTGCAAAGTCAATGAATTTGAAGATGCAAATAAGTCTTTTAAATTTGCAAGACTAGCGAAGTGAACTTCAGAAACAACCCCTTCCAACAAATTATCACCGATCGAAAGGACTTCCAACTTTGAAAGGTGTCCAAGATTTTCAGGAATGGTACCGGAAATTAGATTACTCGATAGACAGAGGAAGCGCAAACTTTTAAACTGTCCAAGTTGATCTGTTAAATGACCAGAAAGTTGATTGGAATATAAACTCAACGACTCCAAAGCATATATAGCACATACGGACAGACTTTTAAACACTTGTGATACCTCTCCACTAAATCTGTTTCCTCCCAAAACAATCGCCTTCAAGTTACAAAGATTCTGTAATTCACTTGGTATTTTCCCTTCAAGTTGATTGGCTGGTAGGTGGATATCAATGAGAGAAGTCATATTTCCAAAGGCACTAGAGATCACACCTTGCAGAGAAGTTAAACCAAGGTCAACGGACTCAAGACGCTTAAAGCTGTACAACCAAGTGGGTATGGTAGAATTCAAATAATTTTCAGACAGATCGAGATGTACAAGAGTACTAGACATGTTAAGAAGACCACTTGGAATTGGACCTCGCAAACTATTGTCACGTAGATTAAGAGAGGTGAGGCCTTTTATACTGAAAAACCAATCACGTAACAGAGAACTAACACTATTTCGAGAAATATCAAGGACTCTAAGAGACGTAAAATTAACGGAAGGTAATGGATCAAAGTGAGTGAGACTAGAATAGGACAAATGTAATTCAACCAAACAAGGCAGGGCGTTCATCACCTGCAGCCAGTTATATGTTCTTGTTAAGTTCACCCCACTCATGTCCAGGTGCTGTAGCAAAGCAAGCCCAGAAAGCCACTCAACATTCTCACCACTCCGCAAGGAATTGTGATTGTAGTAGTAGTAGTAATAGGAAATGAGATCTCGAAGAATAAGATAACGCAAGCTGGAGAGATTTCCAAGCTGGTGTGGAACCACCCCTTCAAATCCTGCACAAGAGAGATTAAGGTATCTTAAACTTTTCAGAGAACCAATGAATCCGGGAATTCGAATTCCTCCGAAGTCATTGTTGCTTAGGTCCAGGTAACGCAGATGCTTCAAGTTTATCAGAGAAGCATTAATGTTACCACCCAACTTTAAGTCCTCCTCGTCATATAGAGGACGAGGAGGACGAGGACGAGGACGAGGAGAAGCACGAAGGTGGAGCTTCTGGACATGACCGTTTAAGTTGTTGCAAACAACTCCAGCCCATTTGCAGCAGTCTTCTTGGATGGTCCAAGACAAGAGCCTATTGGAAGGATCTTTAAGATGTTGCTTAAACCTCAGGAGGGCTTGTCTCTCACTTTCAATGCAAACTGAATCTGAGTTTGGAGCACATAGGCCTTTAATGCTAAAAGTTGTTGCTATGATGACAAAAGCAAGCAAAAACTTCGTAAAAGTTGTCATGGTCATGGAAGGAAGATGAATAAGAAGATAACAATTGTGTGGCTCTTATAGAGAGGTGTCCACACACTTTAATTGGTTAGCTCATTGCGTATGTAAGGGTGTGGTGACTTGCTTAGCTTCTTCGAGGAAGTTTAACGCTCACTTAATTGGTGGGAAAAAAATTACGGACTTTTTTTCTTTAAAAGATCTAATCAATTGACAATTGTGATCATAGAGAGCCCTGTTCTTCATACAATGTGTGACTTAAATTTCGTTGATCTTTTCATTTTGCATTCCCGTCAAAGGCTCTCCGAAAGCTATCAAGCTATCGTATCATAGCATTTTGATTTTTCTCATAGAACAAGTTAGGGGTGCACACAGATTCGATCACACATAAAATCCAATGGGAGCCTTAATCCAATCCGATCTGATTTGTAAACATCAATCGGATTGGATTGAATTGGTTTTACAAATTGAACTTTTTACGGTTATTTAAAAAAAAAATTTCACTTTTTCTTGAGAGAGAAAAAAAATAAAAAAATTCAGAGTTGATATTGTGTATCACACAGTTTCAATAATCCCATAAACGTTCGTTTGCATATACGTTATAAATCAGGGCAGGCATCTCTTCCAAGGTTTCATACGTTATAAATCAGGGCAGGGTTAAAGGTTAAAGGTTACAGGTTAGAGAAAAGTTAAAAGTTAAAGGTTAAAGGTTAAAAAGAGTTTTTTATACATATATGACAACAAGAAGTTAAAAGTTAGAAGTTAAAAAAAGAGCATTTTATCCATATATGACAACAACAAGAGCTTAGCATAAAAACAGTATTTTATACATATATGACAACAACAAGGATTAGGGAAAAAAATTTGAACGATTAAATTTGAAATTAAATTCTTTTTTGAAAGACTCTCAATAACAAATTAATTTCTTTTTAAAAAAATATTTGAACCTACCCAACTTCATTTAAGAAAGGAGGCTCGGGGTACAAATTAATTTCTTTTTTGTAAGACTCAATAACAAATTAATTTTTTTTTTTTTTTTTAAATAAACCTAACCAAATTCATTTAAGAAAGGAGACTCGAGTTACAAATTAATTTCTTTTTTGTAAAAATTATTTTCTTTTTTTAAAAAAAAACAAAAATTTGAAACTACCCGACTTTATTTTAGAAAGGAGGCTCAGGGTATTACAAAAAGGAAGTCATTTCCCTTTTGGAGGAGGGAGTCATTTATAGAGGTCTAGGTTCAATTAGAAGTATAATTGTGAGAGCTTTACATAAAATGATCAGAATTTCATCTTCGAATTATCAATAAAAAAAACTAGACCTCGCCATTTATTACACAAATCCATTCTAATTTTCGGAAGCCTCTTTTTTTTTTTTTTTTTTTTTTTTTTTTTTTTTTTTTTTTTTTTCAATCTTTTGATGTTCAATTGTTCACCGAAGAATCTACACATATAAATGAAATGGAATGTGAAATCTATAAATTCGGGAGATGTTTTAGTTAACTGTGCATGGCCAACCGCTAAAAAGAACTGTAATATAAGTCACACAATTTTTTTCACTTCTCAACATGTTTGGAGTAGACTCCTGCTCTCATACTCGGCGCCCGCTCTCGCTCCAAGGTTGTGTAGCATCTTCGGTCCCCACTGGCGTTGGATACTTTCTATCTGCATTTGAAGTTTAGGTCGACTGATTCCATGAATAAGAAGGCTAATTTCTTGGCCTCCCTGCTTGTTGGGAATACACACCAGTACTCACCACCTATCAAACGAATATAGGAAGAAAGTAGAACATCTCAACTTGTTGAGTTAGGTCGGGGAAGAGGGCGCGGAATCAATAATAACCCACCACCTGCGAGAGCTAGTTTTAGCTCTGCATGGCTTAAATTTTGCCACTTTCACGCTCCCACTCTATGTGAATTAGGCTGTGATATGTACTCAAGAAGTAATGAGGCAAGGGTGTCTTCATGAGACACAAGAAAACAAACAATTGTTTCAAACTTGCAACACGAAGAAGCCCGCACTGGCTAAAAAGTACAGTAGATCCGGAAACATACTTCAACTGCTTCAATTTCATCAAATAATCGATAAAGTACAAATTAACATTAAGAAAAATAAAAACTATGAATACAAAACAATGATTTAATTAAATATTGGGTGTAGTCTTGAAATATATAATGCGAATGATTACAGAAAATACTACGAAACCTTTCTATTGTTTCTGCAACTGTTTCCCTCCCCGAACACGTCCAATCTAGAAATACAACATCTGGGAACGGCACCGGCAATGTTATGGTTGTTCACATTATCTCCCATCCCACATTTCCAGGTGATCATTGTCTTTGCTATTGTGCAGCCAATATATATGCAAACAGTAATCTGCGCAACTACGAAGCAGATAAAATAGCAAATCAATTGTTAGACAGATTTTAAATGGCTATTCAAAGGTTGAAATGTATGAACCATGTGTATAGCTTTTGGAAAATTTGCACGACGACTCTGCCAAAATATTTGCACAATTAATCAGAAATCTAGACTGTCAGGTTGATGATTTTTGATAGAGAGATCAGCAATTCAAAAAGTTCAAATTGGGTAGGGAACAGAATTTTTTTAACAATAATTCTTTTTTTTCTTTTTCTGGGTTTTGGATCAAAACTAAATCGGAAAACGAAAAGAAAGGATATATACCTTGTAGTTTCATCGGAAGTCCTAAGAAGAGGGCAACTCATGCACACAGGAAGTACATCCCATTAGACTTGAGTCTTGTTTTCAACAATAGTCAATGCTTCTTCAATAGCTTGGATAAAAGTAGCAATCTTGTATGTGAAAAATCCTACTAGCATTGGTATCAATTCTAGGTGCATAAATCCATAGTCCGGAACGAGAATCCTGCAATCAACCACACATCCTTGGGGGTAAATACCAAAGAGAGATAACTACTGAGCTCACCAATCACCATATAAACCCAAGGCCCTCTATAGATTCATAGAACTGTGGGGGGAAAAAAAAAAAAAAAACAAATAAATTCATTAATAAATAAAGAAGAAAATTGGCTGGACCAAGGACCATGCCAATCTGATATTTAATCTTTTACCAATTCGTAACAAGGTGTTTCTTAATCCCGTCAAAATGAAATTGTTCTAGTCTTTTAAGCAAACGTTACAGAACAAACCTTTTACAGGAAATCCTTCCAATGACAAAAAGGGTATAATGATGTCAATCCTAGAGACAATCCAGTACATAATTCAAAATGGACAAGTTTCATATGCTATGAAAAACAAGCTCGAGTCCTCTCCAAAAATGTCTGAAACACAAAGGAGCAATTTCACTTCATTTATCATCCAACTGCCCCAAAAATGCATTTCATTTATTTCTAATGAAGATAATGTTCTCAAGGTACAACTGGTGTTCAAGCCAATATCATTGACACAGTGACTAGGACATATTCTAACAACAAGCCTTTAGAATTAGTCAAATTTGGAAGGTTACAGAAGGAGCTATACGTAAATTAATCTAGTGAAGTGGATTCTAAACTGCCTCAAATAATTTTTATCAGAAGCAGAAATTCTTCGATCATGTCTTTTCGTCCTTTCCAAATTAGTGTAGAGGAGTAGATAGCCAATTAACAATATGAAGCAAAGGGTGAAGCAGAGAAGTAATAGTATGATACTAAACAATGATGAAAGTTATAACTGTTGATGTGAAATTATGGTATGGTTTATGGATGAAGGGCCAGTCATGACATATGATGAAACTATGCTAGAAGAAAAGCTTACCCATTCCACCGGTTATAAAACATGACCAACACAACAGGAACCAGTAGCCTTGGCTGTCCTATTGCTCCCCTGCAAGTTAACATCCGTAAGAAAATGGCTATCCTTGCCTTCCAAATTAAAGAGGCCACAAAGATTCAAACACAACTTCACTTCTATATGATTCTTACCATCAGTGGCAACTTGACAATGCATGTATAGCTACTGCAATTCTACAAATTCCAATTTGTAGGTGTAACTTACATTTTAATTTAGTATTCAAGGGTAAAGTGCAAAAAAAAACTCCTGCTATATAAAAAATGTGCAAGAAATACTCTTGTTATTTAGTATGTGGCACTATGTGCTTATAAATCCCTATAATTTGAAATTTTGTAGCAAAATTGCCCCCTGGTTGTCAATTTTGACCAATTTTTTTATAAAACCCCCAAAATACCCTTAATAAATTTTGTGCATACAAGTGCTTTTTATTTTTCCTTTAAGAGTATTTTAGTCTTCAAATTGAGAAAATGTCCTCAGTTTGAAAAATGTAAGGGGTGTTTTTTAACACACCAGGGTTTCTTTTGCACATTCTACAATCTACATAAATCAAGGGAGTTTTTTTCACTTTACCCTAGTATCTATAACAAATGCCTTATGGGCATAATCTCTGACCCATAATTTTGATTTCATATTGAAATGCAAAAAAATAATTCTTGATAATCCGTATCAGTAAAAAGGATAGCATGAATCTTATTTATCTAAATCGTCTCTATAAAATTTTCTTGCGAAGTTTCATTTATGATTGAAGGTGAAAACAATTTTTTGATTGTTTCACGAGATGATACATTCAAAAAAGGATCACACATTTTAGGCAAGTATCCTTTTTAGTTTCATTTCATATTAAAAAGTATAATATACATTTTATATATTTCATGTGAAATCAAAATTAAGGGTCACAGATCATTTGCCCATAAAAAAAAGTTGAGGAAAATGCTTTGTTGAGTTGAGTATTGAAATGTATAAAAACATCTACGCTTCACAAGATCCTAATGGAAGATTGGCGATACAATCAAAACAATATTCGCTAATAAATCAACTACCTTCCATAATCGTGGGCCGCGCGCAAGGGGGGGTGGGGGTGGGGATCGTTTGGGGAGAGAAACATATGCATAAACTTGAGTTCCAAAAAAAAATTCACATTTGCATCCATGTGCCTAGTTTATTGGGTATTGTCCAAAAGATTGCATGTGGAAGGCAACAAGTATAAAGTTCTCACAGATTATACACTCAATAAGACACCCCAATAACTTAAAATACTTATAGTGTTGAGTTACTTACCAAAAAAGAAAATTAATAATAAATAAAATAAAATAAAAAAGGACTTATAGTGCTGAATTTACACATCATTTATAAATAAATAAAATGTCATCTGCAGATTTTTTTGCCCACCAAATTGTGAGAGAGGAACAAAGTAATACATACTTGATAATCCCTCTGGCTCCATCTGCCATAGAATCTATACTGGTCCCAAGCATACGAATATATACCAAAGAACCAAGGAATCCAGCACCATAGCTGCATATGTGAAAAAGGACATGAAAATCAATTCAGCTGGAGAAAGAAAATTTTTACAGAAAAAAAAAAAAGAAGAAGGTATTTTTAGATGTTTCAGCAAGAAATGTCGACTTGAATATAACTCTGGCACCATAAATGTTTAGTTTAGCTATCTCAAAAAGAGGAACCGTGGAGAGGGAAAAACAAAACAGAAAAAAGACAAGAAGGATGGAAGAAATAAATCAAAAAATAAAATGAAAAACTACAAAAAGACATGTACGAAAGGTGTTGATTTTAAATTTGTCCTTGTGCAGTCATCAATCACCACAACAGCAACATAAATCACAACAAATCACCACTTACTGAGAACACCGATTGATTCAAGATATGCAAGTAAGGAGACAGATACCATCCACCAGAAATTAATCACAAAGTTAAATGGAAGTTAGAACGTGTCTAATAACATATTTACCTTGCTGCAATTTCAGGAGAATACGAAATGTAGGCTGAGAGAAGACCAATTCCACCTACACCCAAAGTGAGGATCTGCAACTTCTTCTTCAACTGCAAAAGTGATTCCAAGGGAGAAAAGTTAACATGTATCAGTTGTAGAAACATAAGACATCAAGGATGTGTAATTGACCAAAGTAGTGCTACAAAGCACCTTTAAATACTGCTCCCTTGACTGAGCAGCCAAAACTTTTGGGTCTCCACGAGGTCTCCTTGATTCTCGAAGCATCACATCCTACAGCAGAGGGACAATTTAAGACTTCAAACCTAAGAAGCATCCTTTCCATATCATATATTACTGAAACGAAAGCGCATGCAAAATTTTTCCAAAACTGAATTGCCAAATGATGCAAAAGATTTACACTGCCTCCAGTTGCAGCCTTAGTTGCTCTGTCCCACTTCTCTTGCTCACGCCGAGTTGGTGCTGGTCTCCATCTTCGTGAAATGTTGACACTGGCCTGAAAACCATTCTACTGCCAATGAAGAAAAGGGAAAATACGGGATTGCAGGACTAACCACATGTAAAGAATTCAAAATGAGAACTTGAACAAATATCTTACTTGAGTTGTATCAACCTTCTTTTCTATAACAGGTTTTGAAGGGGCTGTAAGCTCTTTACTCAAATCAACTTCCAAACTATATATCCATAAATCATTTGGTTTTAGGGAGGAAGTCCATCAATAAAGTTTTCCAAAAGTACCAATATGAATGAGAAACTTACCTGTCAAGGGACATAACCCTATTAAAGCTAAGAAACCCAGAAGACGCCTCCTGCTTACACCAGACCAATATAATATCAGAGTCAAATTGAAAAATCTGATAACCACACACACACACACACAAAACCTAACAGAAGCCCTTAAATTTCTTGAATTCACCATACTAGGAAATGAAACCACAGAACTCCATTACCAAATAAAAACTCTTGTGAATTTGATTACCCTAAAGAAAGGATCCATTTCATTTCAATAAGAAATAAACCAAGTAACAAACAAAAACCTAACAGATCATATTTAACATTTATAAAATCATCATCATCCTCCTTGCCTTGATCCCATATGAAATTATGAATAGGGTCGGTCGCATGAATTCTCTCTCGCCAAGCTTTTCTATTAAATGCCAATTCACCAACTATATTTAAAATTTTAAAATCATTTTTAATAACCTCATCCCATATGATTTTTGGGCGCCGCCTCTTACCTTCTATTACAAATAGTCTTCCTCGTTTGACGGTGTCGTAAGTCTCCAATGTATATATTATGTTCAACCCATCGAAGTCTACTCTCTCAAATTTTCTCACCAATGGGTAGCTAATTTTCCTCACACTTTCATTAGTGACCCTATCTCTTCTAATCACTCCACTCATCCAAACCTAACAGATCATATTTACCATTTAAAAAATAATTTAAAAAATGATTAACTAGTCAAATGAAACAGTAACTCCTCAGAAACTTAATCACTAAAGATACCCATTTGAGCTTAATAAACACTAAAAAGATTGAACAGTTGATTTAATGACAAAATTAAACAATCAAACTGCAAAATTCAATGGCAAAACAAAAACCCATTTGATTTTCACCTGCCACTAAAACTAGAACAATCACCCAAACCACATAATCAAGAGCAAACGCATAAACAAATCCAAATCATAGAAGAACAAAAAAAATAAAAAAAATAAAAAACCAGATGAGCAAGAACTAAGAGTGAATTATACCTTAGCAGGAGGAGACGATTGAAGCTCAGACGACTCATCAGGGTCCTGAATCAACCGTTTCATCCTACCCATGAAGTCTTTGTTCCAAATGTAGTCGTCAGAGGTGATAGGGTCCTCTCCTTCGCCGCCCCAGTACTTCCGAAGCTTCGTAGTGGCCGGTGGGCCACCGTAGTCCCCCGGGGCAACTCCGGTGGACCATTTGAGGGGCTTCTTCTTGGGGAGCAAGATCTTGGTCTGTCTAGGGTCTGGTGGTGATGGTGTCGATGGAGAGTCCGGAGAGATGGGTGTGGCTGTGGAGGTCACTGTGATGTAGCAATTCAAGACTACCATTGTATATAGCTTTTGGTGTATGATGATAACTGACCGACCTTGCAAAGGTTCAACACACACCCCTAAAATGGAAGAATGAAAATATCTACAGTAATTCTATATATCTATGTGCTGTGGTGGTGGGGATGAGTTTTGATGAATTTGTGTTCACTGATTGTCCGTCCACTCAAGTTGTTCTCAGAAAATTGAGATTGCCAGGGCAATAAATCCTAGATAGAGATAGGGCGTGAGAAAATCGAAAGCATTAACCTTTTTTTTTCGAAAGGTAAAGCCTTAAGGTTTTTTTTTTTTTTTTTTTTTTTGTAAAGCATTAAGGTGACCACATGAGTTTCTTGTTAATAAATAAAAATAAGAAAATAAGAAAATAAAATAAAAGTTTAAAATGCAGGATATGGAGGAATTCTCAAGCAAAAAGTTACTGTACAAAACATATGAATGACGACAAAAATATGTTTGGATACATCTTTTTGTTTTAATTTGGTCCAAAGCAATCCACAGCATACAAGCTACAAAATTGAGAGGACAAAAATAACTTTGTTGTGCTTCTCGTGTTTCTTGTACTCTTCATTCGTAATTTGTAAGTATTTTCAATCTTAATATTATTAGCTTGTTTATATTTATCATAAGTCTACAAAACGGTAAGCACCACTTAAAATGAACTAAGAAATATCATTTATCACTTAATGTTGAACGTTAAAAATTCAAATTTCAGTACTTAATTTTCAATTTTATCAAACAACACATTTATCATATAAAAAGAATTACACATCTCAAATAAAATTCGAAATACTTTGATAGATATTACACTTTTTTTATTTAAGTAATAAAATTCTAAAAGAATGTTAGATGGATGGCTTATCTAGGGGTGGGCAAATAATCCGTAAATTCGTGAATCCGATCCAATCTGTATGGATCGAATTGGATTGCTGCACCCGTAGATCTTTGGTGGATTTAAAAAAATCAAATCCATAACTCACGGATTAGACTGTTAAAAATTCGATCCGATCGGTGAAATTTATATATATTTTCAAAAAATATATTAGTTAATGATAATTTAATATATTCTAAGTATGTACTAGTTAATAATTATTTAAATATATGAATTAATATTTATAAATTAAAATTTTATGTATTGGGTTAGGGTTAAAAGATAAATAAATAATAAATAATATTACTTATAAAAATAAAAAAATAATAATAATAGATAATTTAAATAAAATTTAATTCGCGGATTCAATTCAATCCGATTTGTGGGATAATGGATCGATGACGGATTAAAAAAAATTTTAATCCATTGATAACAAATCGAATTAGGATTAATGCATAATCTGTTCCAATCCATGACCACCCCTAACTCATTGTGGCCGGAATGGCATCTACCACAGGCTATTCATATGGATTGTACTCCTTGGCTTATGTTTGAATTGAATCTTTGATTGAAAGAAAAAAAAAATAACAATAAATAAATAAATTTGCCCATTCAAGAGGGAGGTGAGATTCTGGGAAGGAAAAATCAAACTATATTTCTTTCTCTAATTTTATTTTGTCTTTACTTATATCATTTGGGTAAAGTGCCACAAAACCCCATAGGATCTATGCTCCAATAAAATAAATAAATAAATAATCCCTGAACTAACCATTTTGGTTGCAAATTGCCCGGTAATATGAAAAGACTATCATGCCCCTTTTGTGAACATATCTTAATGCTTACAACCAAACATGGTCTTACTCAAATCATCTCAAACACATGATGGAACCCTAACCCAATTTCATAAAATTCCCATATTGAAATGTTCTGTCTTTTATCAAATCCACTAAATTACCTCTCCATCCTTCACTCTCAATTTGTTGGATGTTGAAGTGGCGGTGTGTGAACCAGGTTGACATTGAGGTCACGATGATGTTGGTGGCGGAAGTGGGTGGTGGCAGTGGGGGTTCAATTGGGGTTAGTTCGAGTTGGTGTGTGATTGAGTATGAATTATTTGAGTTTCCAAGATAGTGGTTTGATTCCGGTGAAAATGTTGCGGTGGTAGCAATGATGGAGTTGGCAGAAGTGGGGTGGTGATTGACCAAATTGACAATGAGAATCACACCGATTGCAAAGCACTTGATTAGTGAATAGGGGGCAAAAATCAAAATACTAATTTAGTATTTTTATATGTTTTGTACTGTAACAAAATGTACTATAATAATGAATAGTATTAAATTTTTTTTTTAAAAAAAAAAAACTCTAAAACGTCCTTTTTAAACTAATCCTTATATTTTTTAAAATTGCAATACTTTTTTACCAATCATATTTGTATGTTTTTGCTTCCAAAAATTTTGCAACAAATAAATATTATCAGACATATTTCTGTTTACTATTCAAAACACTATACAATAAATTGACTACTCAATTCAGTGCTTAATTCTAAATGTATTAAATGCTTATCTAATTAAGTAATTTGATAATGCACTTTGAGTATGGCTTAAAAATTCAAAAAAAAAATATCAAAAAATATTTATCTTTTTAATTACCACTTCAAAACTTCAACACTTATTCAATTCTTAAAACTTTCAGTTTTATTAAACAGTATGTTATGTTCCATGAGTTGGAGTCTTAGAATTTAAATTGGAGAAAAATAACTCACAAAATTAAACTAAATTGTTCTTTAACTTGTATTTGACGATATAGCCTTAATTTTACCAATTTCAACTCTAAAGCTCTAATTTTATCTCAATGCAACCTTTATATTATTTTATTTTGGTTAAAATAAAAAAGTCCTCTTGATAAATGTTTGGAAAGTAATCGGACTGAGGGAAGTCCACGAGACTTAGCATGAAGGCGCTCTCATAGTAGCCGTACCCTCTGAAAATGATGAAATTTTTTACTGTAAACAAAGAGAGATTTGCAAGTAGTACCGTAGCATCTTTTATAGCTTAAGGTTAGCTTTCTTTAATAAACCCTTCCCCCACTCTCCTCTCTCTCTCCTCTTGGCGTTCCTTGGAATCTGATAATCAATGGCGAACAGCAATTTACCTCGAAGGATTATCAAGGTACTTTCCGATCCTCATCTTGATGTCTCAATTTCAACTATTTCTCTCTCTATACATACATTTATATGTATATATATAGTTTTCTGGCTTTGACGCTTACATGGATCTACGATTGAACAGGAAACACAGCGGCTTCTCAGTGAACCAGGTTAATCTCTACCTAATTAGATCCCTCTTTCTTTATGTATGTGTGTGTATATTTTCTATATATCTGTATCTGTAATTTATTAGAAAATCAAGAACTTGCATATGGATTGATAGAATCTAGGTTGTTGGTGATAGTTAAAATTATATTCTTGACAATTTAAAGAAGGTTGGTGGACTGCTGTGGTTTGATTGAAATTTAGATGCGTGAATGCTGCTGTAAAATTCTACTTTTGTTGACTTGCCACAAAAAAAAAAAAAAAAAAAAAAAATTCTGCTTTTGTTGAAAGAGTAATGATATTTGTGTTATCATCTGTGATATGTGATACAGCTCCAGGAATTAGTGCTTCACCTTCAGAAGATAACATGCGATATTTCAATGTAATGATACTTGGTCCATCGCAATCCCCTTATGAAGGTAACATCTTTCGAAAGTTGTTAGTATCATCTCTCTGAAGTTGTTTCTACGTCTGTTGTGATGGAAATGTGGTCTTAACCATGTTTTAATTGATTTTTTGTTTTTCGTTTTTAATGTACTGTTAGCAATGTGTTAGTTAATTGAGAACTTATTTTCTGGTGCTGGTGCTACTGCTAATGTAATTTGAATGGTCTACAAATTAGTTACGTATCCTTAACCTCTTGGATATGCGCCAATGAATGATTAGTGTTAAAGAGGGGAAAAGAAAAGAGGAGAAAAAGAGAGGCAAGATGAAATTTTTGCTGCAATAATTTTATTAGGATTCTCAGATCTCGGCAACTTATGGGCAACAGTTGGTTTCTGAATTAGGGCAAAAGGAAATGTGTGAATGTTTTACATCAACAAATTATTTAAAATATAATTTTACCAATTTCCTTTCCCCTTGTGTTGAACTTCAAACTGCATTTATCCGTCCTGTAGTCACAGCAACAATTTTTTGTTTGATCTTGGCAATAGTGGATTGGCTATCGTTATTTGAAAGTTTGTTTTCTTTTTTATCTGGGGGTCCACATATGGTTGATAGCTTCATCAAGGCCTACTATGGTTAGAAATACCTAAAGAGCGTGTTTTGATAAATGTCATGCTTTGGATGCATGGTGTGGATTTAGAGACCCGTGTCTCCTCAGTCCTCACTTTATTGTTTGTGAGAAAGTAGTGGTCCTATCATTTTGTCAATATATGAGTGATGTTTTGGTTATGAGTAACGACAAAATAAGGCATTAGAGGCGCTTTAAGGCGTATCTAAATACTTACAAAAAGAAAAAAGAAAAAAAAAAGGTGTGTCTGAATAAAAGTTCACATTCCGACTGGTGATTAGAGGTGTTTTTGCGATATAATTTGTGAGGTCTTGAAAAAGAAGTTTTATCTCCAAGATGGTATTTACATGTTGACTGTTACTTGATTGACATTTTATGGATCTTAATATCAAGGCTGCTAAAGACTTTGGTGAGTCGCTTGATTTTCTCAATTGACAGTGAAGAGTTGCTACAAAATTGATATAGCTGATGGTGGCATGATAATAATCATAATATATTACTTCTGCAGCAAGGCACATGAGTTGGCTCCTGCAATAGCCTAGACATGCATCTTATGAAACCATATGATATGAAGTAATCTAAAGTACCTAAAGTAAGGTCCATGTCAAGGTCTTTTGTCAAGCCTCAATAAAGGTCAGATAGTAATCTTATGTAATTTGGTAACATGTAATGGTGCGATCATATACAGTAGAACATTAGACTCTTGCCAAACATGGCTCGTAGGATGATGTGGGTTTGGTCACTTTATAATGGTTGAATCTTAACCTTAATAATCAATCTGGTTGTTCAGTTGCATAGTTCTGGCCCTTTATTGTTGTATTTTTCTTTCTTTCTTTCTTTCTTCTCTGAGGAATATCTTTCTTCTCTGAGGAATACAAGGTATCTAAGGTTTGATTATGATTTATGGGGTTTCAACCTTATACACACCATGATTGATTCTTTTAGACAATATTTGTGTAATTAGTTCATCTTGATGCTTGTGCATACTATGTGGTTGATCTTAACCTTTTTAATCAATCTGTTTGTTCAGCTTCATAGATCTGGCCCTTTATTGTCATATTTTTCTTTCTTTCTTTCTTTCTTTCTTCTTTGAGGAATAAAAGGTATCTAAGGTTTGATTATGATTTATGGGATTTCACTCTTATACGTATCATGATTGATTCTTCTAGACTATATTTGCGTAAGTAGTCCATCTTGATGCTTGTGCATATTATGTGGTTGATGGACTGCCCCTTAGTCTCTTCATTGTGGAGTAGACCTTGTTTGTGTTGGATTCTTATATGTAAGTGATGCAGGACAAAATTCAAAATCCTACTGTCTAGAATTGATTTAATGATGGATTTAGGATATGGAAAGCTTGTAGATTTCAGGTTATATTGGTGGCAAGGAAGACCTACCAGGCAAACAGAAAGGGCTGGAATTGGCTCGAGGATGATTGGTTTCTGAAATTGCAAAGAACCCATTGTTTTGGTGCTTCTGGAGGTTACATATTTTAGGGTTTTAGTGCTAAATCAGAGCCCAAAAACAGGGGAATTGGTTGTGTTAGCTCCAACTCACCCTTTGTGATAAGGTTGTATTGCAAAACTCACAATCTCAAATTCTTGAGACTTAAGTCCATTGAAATAGAGAGATTAGATAGTTATAAATACCCTGTTGTAGTTCTTTTGCTTTTACTTAGTCTCCAAAATAGGAAATTTTGACACTTAAACCATTTAGACCATCTTACATCTTCTAAAGGTTAATCAAATTTAATATTAAAGCCACTACTTACATTATTGCAAGCCATGAAAGGCTGAGTACAAATTATAGCAGCCTTTAAGAGCTTGGTTTGGGGGATTTGACAGGGTAAAGATTGCATGTGGATAAAAGCAAAGTCAAATTGATGGCACAATAATCATCAAAGACTAATGATAGTATGTTATAGAACTTATATTTTATGTGGATGGAATGGGAGCCATTGGTTGGTGCAATGGTAAAAACTGGGGTGGTAAGTGTGAAGATGCGGGTTCAATCATAAGAGTGGCCACTTGTGCAGAATAATAGGAAAGGTGGTAAGTGTGAAGATGCGGGTTCAATCATAAGAGCAGCCACTAGTGCAGAATAATAGGAAAGGTTTGGTCTTTCTCCAATCTTTCTTTCCCAACACCCAACATAGTCGAGATTGGTTTTGGGTAATGGTCTCCCTTTATATTTATATTTTATCTATGTGGATGGCATGATTAAGAACTTGAGGTCTACTTGCCAAGAGATATATGACTTGGAGTACCTATAAAATCTTTTCAGGTTTGAGGTTGATAAATCCTTGAAGGCCATCTCCGTTGCAATTTGTAAGAGTACAACCTTTATCGATTGGATGATAACGGAAGTTTGGTGCTCTTATATTACCCTTTTTTGGTGAATATGATAAAAGTACTTCTCTTTGTGCTGGCAGTTACTGGAGGCTGTGGGATAACGTATTTCTCATGCAGTCTGTGTAGAGTTAGTCAATTCAACTGTTTAAGGATCTCAATTTAGGAACAGTTTTTATTCTTTGGTATTTTAACCATCATTGTTGCTATGCCTTGTAGTGTATGAGTATATATCCGGACATCGATTAGCAGAATGTAATTGATTTAGGACACACAAGGAAACTTAGAATTGCTGCCTACATCTGCTCTTATATTGCCTCGTTTTAACCACTGTTGCGGGATTAGAATTTGAAAGGGTGGAAGGAGTGTAGGATTTGAACAAGGAAGAGGTTTGGAATTTGCTTGCTTTAGAAAGTGTTAGATTTCTGAAATTCCAGAAGATTAGCTGTTAACCGTTATGCACATCATCTTGTTTTGAATTTGTGGTCTTAGATTAAAGGCTAAAGGCTAGGGTAAAGGATTATGGTTGATTAGGTTTAATAGGGTAGAGTTTTGGGAATAAGATAGGGGCTGTTTTGTGGCTGTGAGCTGTAAAACCAGAATATTAATCAAGGAGCAGAAGAATAATTTAGGAATCCCTCCTAGAATTCATTAAGATCTACCACGCAGATGAGGTTTAAGGTTGCATCACACATGAAACAATATTCATTCCTCAATCCTCTGGAACTCAGCATTATTGATACAGAATTACATGGATATCTATGGGCTGCCTGGCTTTCTCAACTCTTATGAGGACTAAAATTTCAGTACAGGAAGTTTTGAAAGTTTGACCCCTAAAGAGTCCTAAGACTTTTCTATGCATGTCAAGGGTCATACTTATTTTTTTGATAAGTATCAAGGGTCATACTTAAGAGCCAGATAGTACAAATTGACCCAAATTATGATTTGTGGTCAAGTACTACTGTTCATGTCCTGCAACATTGGAATTCCAAATATGGATCTTCTAAAACCTAATAAAATATTAATAGAACTGCTCCAGTAGGATACTATAGTTTTTTCTTTTTATTGAAAAGGAAAAAAACCTACAATTCAAGTTACTATCATGGACTCTTTCCTTTGGACCAAAAAGTCTTATCCAATGGCGTGATGTCCATACTTCTAGTTTAGGCTTCCAAATTAGATATGTCAAAATATACTTGTCAAAAAATTAGATACGTTAAATATTATTGAAATGAAGGTCTTGGTATCACCAGTAGAGGAATAGAGCAAGCCCATGTTGAACATTTATTAAAAAGTAAAATGCAGATTCTTTGTTTTTTGAGGCACTGCTTAATCAAATTTGGTAATAACGCCTTAGTGTGTGTGTGGATTCCTTTGGCTGATGTTGTTATTGGTGAAGATAAGATCCATTTTGTAAGAGCAAGTAAAATTTCATTTTGATAACAAGGCTGCAACTACTAATTTCATCACTTACTGCAAGATGTTTGGACAAAATATATGGAGTGGATAGCCATTTCATGAAGGGATAATTGAAATTGGTTAATTTGCATCCCTTCAGGAGACTAGAGACCAATTTGTGGATGTTCTTACGAGGAGCATTACTCAACAACTTCTTTGCTTTATTTCTCAAGCTGGTCATGTTTGATACATTCTGACTAGCTTGTTAAGAATGTAAAGCAAAATGCAACGGTAGTTTAGTTCATTGTGAAATGTTTCAAGTTTGTTGCCATATTGTATATTACTAAGTGGTTAGGAGAAAAATTCAATTCATATGTTCACCGCTTCTTCATTTTCTTCTTATTTTTACTTCATGATCATCCTAAAGAATCGAACTTGTCAGACTGTAAATGCCACTGTGTTCATATTACTTAAGGCTAGAAGTTGATTTTGTATCTGGAATTTTTGTATCGATTGTCCTCAAGTCACATTTATATACTAACCTGCCAGTGATGTTTATTTTATTGGACACTTTTTTCTTGTTTCTTTCTCCCTTTTCTCAGTGTCATTTTGACTTATATGCTGATCTTTTTCTGGATATTGATATCTATATAGGAGGAGTATTCAAGTTGGAATTGTTTTTACCTGAAGAATATCCCATGGCAGCTCCCAAGGTATTTCAATGCTGATTAATATGTTTAAATCCATCTCTTGTTTCTTACCGGTGATTCTAGGTTCGAGTAATTGCTCGTTATGTCATTATGGAACTTGTCGTGAACTTGTTTAGTGGAAGCTCTTGTGATGTGTGTTTTGTTTCTTTGTTTGATGTTCTTTATAGTTGTGTTATTATGACTTGCATTTTCCCCATGTTCATTAAAACAAAGCCTATGTTAGAAATTTGATGTTTTCATCCCATGAAAATTTCCACGCCTATATATATATACATATTCTTGTTTTTTTGCGGAATTATTTTCCTTTCAGACTATTGAATTTACTCTGAATACTATGCTATGCAGCAAGTTGATGCAAATAATTTACCATTAAGTAGCACTATTAAGTGAGCTACATTTCTGTCATTTTTTGTTATTGTTACGTCTCATTTCCTAGGTAATTGTATGGAAGGAATTGTTGACCATATTTATTGGTTTTATCATCTTTTGCATATTATAAACTTTCTACTTGGATTTTTTTCCCCTTTAACTGCTGCTTAAAGTTTATTGGTACTGCTCTCCTTGTAAAATTGTGTTGAAGTTATACTTTTCTTTTTTGCTAGCTGTAATTTTTCTGTGACTGCATTTTAACTGTTGAGAACATTGTTAACTTCTTGTGGCTGGCTTTACCCGATTTTAGTATCTTGAATTAAATATGGGTGTTTTGAGGCATATAATATTCCTTTTGTGGTTTTATGACATCTACTATATAGATTGCTTCTATTTCCTATAAACTTTTTATAGTTGTACAGCATATCTTTATTAGCCAACACATGAGATGTACTCTAGCAAATTCCTGTTATGCATTTTTGTGATTGTATAGTGGTGTAAAATTAATTTATTGTCTATCAGTTTCATTTCTCATCCTTCCCTTTATTTATTCAATTTTTTTTTTTCTTCTTCTTTTTTCTTGTTTTTTGGGGTGGGGGAAATGGATTGTGTTGGGGAAGATACAGAAATCTTGTGGCAAGTAAAGTTGTAAGAAGTTAAGCATATTTGCTTTCAGGACTTGAATGACTTAAAGATTGGTGAGAACCGTTGAGAGAAATTCTTTTACTATCCTGTATTAAATTTATATTTCCCTGCAATATTTAAAATTTAAAATTCTTATTATGTAAGTGAAACTGGAATTACTACTTTGTGGCATTATTATTTATAGACGTCAGTTCTTTCATTTTTACTTTTATTTCTGGGACAGGCTTGCTTCTTAAACTTGCTGTTGGCTGCAGCTTTTCTTTAGTTGTTTCTTGTTCAGGCTTTAGACTAATTATGATGAGCCTAGTTCATGGTTGAGTATTGCCATTATTGTGTCATAAATGCCAATCCTGGTTGGAAAGCCTTTATGTTATGTTTGGGAGCACCGAATTGGTGCCTAGGTTTTGAGATTGGAGGACGTTTAGTTTAAATTTTGTGCTAAATTTTCTCCAATCCCAAATCCAAAGCGATGATTCGGTGCTGCCAAACATAGCATTAGGATTAAGGTTCAGATCTGGTTTCGTTCATGTATTATTCACCTTTCTATTATTACCTATGGTGCTCTCAATTTTTTTTTTGTCCTTTTATGTCCCTTTTGCTTGTACCTGTTAGGGTGTCCCCGGCCATTTTTAGTAATCCTTATGTGGTCAAATCCTGGCAGATGCTGAACAATTGTGGCCCTCTTTATGTTATTGCTGGCTTTCAAATTAATGTTATAATTAACTCCTCTTTGGCTTTCATCGTTTGATTTTCCTTTTACAGGTTCGTTTCCTCACCAAAATATACCATCCTAACATCGACAAGGCAAGCAGCTATCCGTCTTCTGTTGCTTCATAGTTCAAAATTACCTTTTTTGCTCTAGATTTAATTGATTTCTTTCTGCAGCTGGGGAGAATATGCCTAGATATTCTTAAAGATAAATGGAGTCCAGCCCTCCAGATCCGCACAGTATTGCTGAGGTGATGTGTATGTGTTCCCTTAGTCAGGCGCTACATATATATTTGTTTAGGAATCAGTTTCTCGGTCTATAAAAATGGGGAAATATCCTTTTGACTACATGTCAGGATTATACTTGGAAACTGAGACACGGTAGAATCTTAGTTAAAGAATTCAGCTTAAGCAAGTGACTAGCATTTATATTTCTTTTGGTGGCCGGGGGGTGGGTAAGCCCAGGGCAAAGATTTTAGTGGCTCCAGGATATGAACACGAGACTACTCTTGTTTGTGCTCATAGGCTCTATGCCAACTCAGCTACCCGTGAGGGTTAACTGAATAGCACATACAGTTCAATGGTGGATTCTGGGTAGTAACACTTGGAAGGAAATTGATGGACTATATTAACAATATTGCACTGTTTTCTGAATCAGCATCCAAGCTCTTCTTAGTGCTCCAAACCCAGATGACCCACTTTCGGAGAACATTGCAAAGCATTGGAAGATGAATGAAGTTGAAGCTGTTGAAACAGGTAATGTTCCTCCATTCCAAGTTAGGTTGTTTTATATGTGCCTATTAGGCATTTAGCCCCAGAAAAGTTGTGTCGCTCGCAGCTTCCACAGAAAAATGTCATTTTAATAAATAATAATAAATAAAAAAAAAGTGCCATTACAATGTTTTATTTTTCTAGGAAATTGTATGATTTTTGTTGTTAAAGAAGAGATTGGCCTCGTGCCTCTCGCCCCAAGTGCCGGAAACACAGAAAATGACATTTTTGTTGATAGGCTCGGAAAATGATTTTGGAGGATTTATTGGTAAGTTGCTTTTGTTAAATTTTGGGAAATTATTTTCCTCCATAAAAGATTTTCTTTGAATTTGGGACTACCAAGTACCGGCAAACACAGAAAATATTTTTCGGAAAATGTTTTACACTCAAACAGAGCCTTGATGTGCGTATAAATTTGGCTTTGATTTGCAAGAGATGTTTAGTTATTTGTTTTATTCACCGGGTTTGTGAAACTGTAAACTTGCAGCGAAAGAATGGACCCGTTTGTACGCGACCGGTGCATGATGACAGGAATGTGCGTACTACTTGCAAATGTCATTTCTGAAAGTGTATTATGTTTAAGCTGAATGGTTGTCATTTCTGAACAAGTCATTGTATGAACAATCAGGAATTAATCTACTCCAGCCCTTGGGTACTACTGGCTGTGTTGATAGTTGTTATCTCTTCTATGTGAAAGATTATATGGAAGTTTGATGATCATCGATCTCGACTTTTACATAATTGCGGAACTTGTCAATAGATTCTGAAATATTTCGAATGTTTGGCGCCAACACAACTATTCTTATATATTGTTTCTCTCTCTTTTAACATCTGTTAACCTCCACCACATCTGTTAACACACACACACACACACACACACACACACACACACACACACACAGAGTTTGCATTATGAGCATTCTTTGTGGATAAAGAGATCTGTTATGAACTTGATTTCAATTGACTTTGAGATTAATTGAGAGATTAATTGAGAAGCATTTTTTAAAAAAATTTGGAGAAGTGTTGGAGGTAGTTTTTGGGTTTTTTGAAACTCAGGTCGTTGACAACTGAGAGATTAAAAAACGTTGCGTTTTGTTAATCTTCGTTGTTTCCAATTTCAGAAACTAATTTGATTCATAATTTAATAGTCTTTGAAAACTCTAAGCAGAGTTTGGAAATATGTCAAATAATAAATATTGGCATGTTTTGAGGAATTTTTATTTTCATTTTCATTTTTTAAATCGTAAACACCCCCACGATGCAATTCCAGAAAGTAGCATTCAATCAGACTAATAATAATTCAATTGTTAGACCAAATTTATCTTTAAACAGTCTCCAGACTCGATTAATCAGGTAATTAAGGCCAAACACATTGAAATCCAGCAATATCATTTACTCATTTAGCTATGGTTAAGACTGTGTTAGAATTTACTGGAACTACCATATCCATTTATCCAAACAGACCACAACTGATACTAAAGAGACATATATGCCCTTGCATTCTATCAGAAACCTCGAATCCACCACTAACCGTTTCCCAGTTCAGATTTGTTTTTCTCACGCAGAGAAACACAGAAAAACCACCAAAATAACAGATAGCAGTTAAATTTCTAGTTTTCTACACAATTCGTACAGTGATTGCTTACCTCCCTTGGAATCAACACTTTCCGACCGAGACGAGCGCCGAAGACGACGAGCTAAAGCCACCGACGGTACAACCAAAACCACCGTCGTCGACATTCTTCACATTCTTCTTCCTCCTCCTCTTTAGTTTCAGCTTCATCGCATCATACTCGACGATCGCCGACGAAAAAGCCGACTGTAAACCTCCGGCATCGGCATCGCCGCCGGTGGCGGCATCGGCAGCAGCAGTAGTAGTAGCAGCTTTGTCCTCGATGTGTTTCAGTTTCCGAATCTTCCTTCGAGGCTTCGACTTCGCATTCGGCTTCGACGTGTCGGCGTTGTGGAGAACCAACTCGTAGTTCACCGAGTTTAGCGTTTGGATCGAAGTGACACAGCATTCTTGCCAGTTGAGATCGGCGAGGTCGCTGATGGCTTCCTCCAGAGTGATGAATGCGCAGGAAGAGATGTTGCTGTCTTCGAGTGTGGAGCGAGACGGATCCATGAGCTCGATTGCGTCCACCGCATCGATCAGAACCTTCTGTGAACTCGAACACAACAGAACAGAACAGAGAGTAACAAAATCGGAACAGTTTAGGCTGATTTCTAGAGAGAGAAACAATAAGAAATGCTTAATTTCAACATCACCTTCGGTTTCTTGTGGATCTTTTTGAATCCGTGCATTTCGATGACCTTTATATAAACATAGAAAAACATATAAACAGAGAAGGAAAAATTATTGAAATCGGAGTAATGTATTCAACAAAACTCATTCATGAAACCGTACAGAAATACACAAATTGCAATTCATGATGAAATAAACACAAAACTAGAACAAGTTTCTACTACTGATACTAAATCGATCGACAGTGAATGAAATTGGACACAATACAAACTTAATCTACAGAATTAACGAAGAGTAGTTCAAAGAATAATTCAAACAGATGTTCGTTCTTAAATTCATTCAGATAATTAACTAATGAGTCGAACTTCAGTGAGGAAAATCCATGCGATTGTTGAAGTGATTCAAAGAATTCATGATGATAATATATATGTATATGTATGTGTATAGAGAGAGAGAGAGAGATGAGAAATGACCTGATTGAGGTGGTTGACGGTGAGATCGAATTGCTTCTGGCTGTCTATGAAATCGACGTAGTCTTCGAGAGAGATGATCTTCACCGTCGACCTTCTCGTTCTTGGATTTCGTTGCAGACTCATCAATTCCATGGCTTCGCTCGCTATATCACTCAGACTCTCCCTTGCTGCTTTTGAGAGCTCAAGTCACTCCACTGTCTATTTATATAGACTACACATTACTCTCCTCACATTACTCTCACACGCGCGTATTAATTTGTTGAATTATTTGAATTTTGCTGGCGAGGATTAAAAAAGAACTGAGAGGTCTCGAGTCACGTGAGAGTTTGTTAACTCACGTGTTTTGTTTTGCAAGTTGCAAATTAAAGCAGAAGGCAGATAATTAGCAAATAAAAAGGCAGAAGGCATAGGCTTTGATTTATTTATTTTATTTTATTACTTTGTCTTGGGTCTTTTAAGCACCCACCCAACACATTCTATATTCTCATTTGAACAAAATATTAATTGGGATTTGAAATCCCAATCTTTGATATTCCAAAATCATTTTTTTTAGAATAAATAACACAAACATAATTACTATTTTGAGGTTTCTTATATTAGAATGACTCTCTCACCATCTTTTTTTCCTTTGAAAGAGGGAGCAAAAGAGAGACCTTCCAATAAAATTCCTCTTTATGTAGCACTCGGCACTTAGCACTTGTTATGGATGATTTCAGTATGCAAGGAGTTTCGATGCTAAAACTCAACTGATGAATAATCTAATGGTACGGAACAACTAGGGTTTTCTAGAACTTCTCGCATGAGAGAGTGGCACTAACTTAGGTAGACCACAAGGTGACACTAAAAACAACATTTGTACAATGTCTAATGCATGCAATGCAAAAAACGTTTTCCTACTTACACCTAGTTTTTTAATGTGACTGAAAAATGTAATGTTTATAGCTTTGGGGTTGTGGCACTAGAAACACTTATGGGAAGGCATCCAGGAGAACTCCAATCATTGGCATCAGCATCTACTCAAAATATAATGCTAAATGATGTGTTAGATGCACGCCTCCAAGCTCCATTGCGCGGTGATGAGCGCTGAAAAGTACGCATTTAAACCCCTTAAGCTCGAATATTCTAGGACCTTTATCTATCTTACTTTCCCGTTTTAGATTAATTTCATGTTATTGTCCTTTTCAGGTGCTTATCCCAAAAATAAGTTAATTCAGCCAAATTAGAGCATAAAATAAGTAATCTCAAGCTGAATGGAAGAAATGAGCAAAGTGGAAGCAAAGTGGTGGAAATCAGTAATCTTCGATCGATCAGGAATATTTTCGATCGATCTCACATTGATCGATCCAGCCTCATCAAGATGGATCAGAACCCTTGTCCTTATCCTCAAAGAATTTTCATCTTTGATCGATCCAACTTTCTTTAGATCGATCGAACTTCTTTGATCTTATCCTCACCTACCACTTTTGTCTTTTTCCCAAAATATCCCAAAATATCTCAGAGATTTGTAGTATTCCAAGAAGGCGCTACCAAGGATTGATGGATCTGACCTTAATTCGATGGATCTGGCCACAATTCGATCGATCTCATCTGAATTCGATCGATCGAACTTCCTCAAGTCCGAAATAAAACAGAGTCCAACTCATTAAAAGAGGGCTCGTGGTGCAATCATTGGAAGGGACCCTTGTGCATGAGACCTGACCATTGGGTGTGACACTTGAGCTACCTATATAAGGATTTTGAGCCATTTTTACATATAAGATAGATACCTTAATATAGAATCATATATCACATATCTTGGAGAGGAGGCTAGAGCTTGGAGAGACATACACTATTTTAGGAGTTTTTCTAATCTTCTAGGGTTTCCATCAGGAAGAAGAGCATTCCTACCATGGAGATGGCCCTTGAGGGTTGGATGATTACATCAATGAATGGCTAAACATCTTCTTGGGGTTTGAGTTAGCCCTAAGCATGCCTTTTAAACCTTAATGCTTTGTATTTTGAGGGGATTTGTGTTGTAATCTTGTCTTGACATTTGATTTATATATGAATCTTGTTTTTACAATGGTTTGTGTTGATTAATACTTCCAATTGATCATTTCATTCTATCCATATGTTTATGTATGCTAGAGTAGATGTTCATGTGTTTATCTCTTAGTTTTGTGATAGTGATGCATGTCTATGTGTATTGATGCTATGAATCTAGAGATTGTCAAGGCATAGTGCTTAAATAGAATACTCTTGTGGTTTGTGTGATACCCCTCGATTCTAGAGTCACGGGTGATCAAGTTCGAGCACAGATCCGAGGGATTCCAAACAATTAATATGTAAACAAGCAGAAAATAAAAACTGAATTAAGAATAAATTAATAACACGTTGAAAGAAATCTAAAATAAGAATCCTCAAACTTGAAATAATAAATTAAGTAAAATTTAAAACCGTATAACTCGGGAATCCACCTAGTGGACCCCTAATCCCAAATCCTTGAATAAATTTACAGAATTAAAATTCAAAATTAAAATAGAAAGGAAATCTTATGTAATCGGAAGAGTGAATGTCTGTATCTGTATCAACATGATCAGGCTCTAAGCCTGGTACTGTCGAACACCTGAAAAACAATAGAGCGGGTCAGGCCCACATGCAAGTCCTGATCTACTATGATCCAAACAGGAATCCGATACGCAAATACATCTTAGATAGACTCAACAATATCTAGAGTAGTCCATATATGTATATATTACACACTATAGGATGCTCACTAGTCCAATAGGTATGTCTCAGCCTGAGTAGAGATACCATGTAAATCGTACGTAATGTGGTCATATGTATCTAGACCTACCAGGGAACAAAACCACTGTCCAGTTATCCATCCTAAGCGATATACGCACCCTAACCATGGTCCTGAGACTCAAGCTCATACCATCACACCATAACATAAATATATAAAGTCCGTTCAAGGTGTGTCATTTAAATAGTTTATTGACCTGACACATAATTATAAGTAGGACTTAACTTTTGTAGTTAATCCATCTTATTTCAATATAGGTAGGACTTAGTGTTTGAACTAATCCATCCCCAATATAGGTAGGTCTCAGTGTTTTGAACTGAGCCGTCCCTAATATGCCATCGTCCCATACCGGTACATAGATATCCATATAAGTAGGACTTAAACTTTTATAGTTAATCCAAATCATTCCAAAATAGGTAGGATTTAGTATTTTACTAATCCATCCCTAGTATGCCACCGTCCCATACCGGTGCACACAATCCTCCAAACAGCATAATTGTAAAGACAATAATTATTACTGTCCAGTTATCCAGAATATGCATAAATACAGTTTAGTACATATAACATGACATTAGGCATTCATTACAGAACCTAAACATCACATTCCAACCATTTAAATTGTTAATATGAGTAATAACATTTAAATCCTCCATTTACCATAGTTGACCAAAAACTGTATAAATAGTTATCAACTATATTCCAAAAAAAACACAGATATAATTTCACATGTGTAAAACTAAATCATGCATCCACTAACAGAGTTAGAATCCAAATCCCAGTCCTTTAAATTGACAAAATCCAACTATGCAATTACCTCCTCCAAACAGTGTCGTAACAGATGAGATATATAACAGACTTAATTGTCAGTTAATCCCAACTAAGCATATATATAATTAAATAACAGAATGCTTATAACTCAGCTGCAAAACATGATTTATGATTCTAAGTCATGCAGAGAAACTTAAATCCCTAAAACAGTAAGCCATTCCCAGTTTATGTCAACCCTTTCTCCTACAGGTTTACTTTGAACCTTAGGCTAATTCCATCCCAAATTTCTGGATTTAAGCTTACTTCTCAATTCTTATATAAGTCTTAAGTAGTGTATTACATCATTTAGTATCCTTGAAACCGTTTCAGAAACTCAGTCTTAGCCAAACAGTCCATTAAAACTCAGTATACGCAAAAACAAAAGAAAAAGAAGGCTCTGAAACTTAGAGAGCCCTCTCTATTCAAGGAGAGCTGGCTCCCCTTCCTTGGGATCCGGCTCTAGATGGTTAAGAGCCGGCTCTCAACCCTAGAGAGCCGGCTCTTGTGTTTTGGGAGCAGGCTCCCTCCATTTTTGGAGCCTGTTCTCACCTCTAAGAGCCGTGGCTGCGTCTGCGTGTGTCTTCTCCGACTCCGGTGGTTTCCAGTCTTTAAAAATAGTTTCATTACAGATTTTTAAAGTCCTATCCTCATCCCAGATTGATCACAAGATAGAGTCATACCCATTTTCATTGAATAACAGATCAAAGTTTGAAACAATGGCAACCATATAAAAGACTGAACTTGTAGTCGACTGAAAACCAGATTTAATTCCATGATGCTAGAAACTTATTTAACATGTTTAATTTTAGGTTTTAAGATCCCACTCACATCCCAGAGTAACCACAAGATAGAGTTATACAAACAAGAACGGAATTAAACATCAATTTGTAAATCATCGACAATCAGATTTTAAACTGAACGTGTAAAACTATGAAAACATATTATATTCAATGATGTTTAATACTGTTACAACATGTATAAACGATGTCATTAAGTCTTACTTTAATTCCTGGAGTATAACTAAGCATGCACAGAACACAAATTCCTGGGAAAGGGAAGATCAGAAACTTGCCTTTGAATTTCAGATTTGAAATTCTAATTCACTGTCTCTGTATGATAAGTTTGTGTCCTAAATTGCAAGTCTGCTCCTCCAATGCCTTTGTTCAACCCAGAAACACCTCTCCTTCCTCCTTTTTAGTCCAACCTTGATCCAGACCAAAACCTAGACCTCCTCTCTTTATCTTCCTCTGTGTCTCTTGTAATACTCCTAATTTTAAAAGGATAGTCTCGGTATTTATTTATTTGTTTTAATTATATTTTTTAATTATTTAATTAATTATTTGACTAATTGCTTATGTGTTTAATTGAATTAAGTATTACTTGATTATTTGATTATGTGTCTATGTATTATTTGTATTTGTCTATATGTTAATTGTTTAATTAGATTATGTGCTTAAATAGTATTTTGATTAATTGTAAATTAAATGTTTTCTTTTCTTTTATTATTTTATTTTATTTTTCTTTTATGGTTATGGTTAATAGTAATGGGCCAACCAATTGGGTCCCATGGACTACTTGGATAGGAAGTTGGATGTGTATGGATTATTACCCATGGATAATGTATGTATATATATAGATAT